AAAATAAAAAATATATTTTATATTTTTATATTAATATGAATTATAATAACTGATTTTTATATAAAATATAACACGAATACATAAATTATTAATATTTTTTATAATATAAATACACGATTTGTTGGTCTACAAAATTAATGAAATAATGAAAATAATTTTAATAATTAAAATATACTTCATAGATGTGGTTTTGAATGATGATAGTAAAACATAGAAATAAATTGTAAGTATTGGTGAGAGCTAAAACTTAAATAAAATTATTTAAATAAAGTTTGTAATTTTTTTAATTAAAAATGATTTATTAAAAAATTTAATCAAAAATTCAAATAGATTGATAGATTTTCATAAGAAAATTAGTAATATGTAAACATATATATTAAAAATATTATTTATAATTTAATTTTGATTAAAACTTATAATTAACGATAGAGAACTTGAAAATGCACTTTGATTAGTATCTATTAAAATTTGATTGAATTAGAAAATGTATGCACTCAACAATCTATTATCTCTCATTTTGCTTTAATATTGAATTCCATACTTCTTTTTCATTAATTAATATTGCAAAAAGATATTTGATTTCATTATTCCACTATTTTTTCTTTTATTAATGAAATTGATGATTTGATAAAAAAAAAATTAAATTGATGATCAAAGTGCTTGTGTTTGATAGAAAATTAATTAATATGCAAATTATGCCTATTGCTATACCTACTAAGGTATATTTGAGAGGAAATATAGCAAGAAAAAAATATGAAAAAATTTATTTTATTTATTGAGATTTATAATATATGTGTTATTTTATAATTCAATCATTAAATTATTCTTTTTTCATCAAATAAATAATAAATCTGAGGAATTTTTTTTTCAATGGAAAGAAAACAAAAAACTTTATTGTATTCCTGTATGATGCATTTAGTAATATAAAATATGACACGATAATATGATACGAAAATTATACGAAAAAAGATATGAAAATGATGTAATTTAAAATTTTAATAAAAAATCATATATGAATTTAATAAAAATTAAAAAAAATATTATTTTATATTTTCTTTGTCTATGCAAATTATAACATATAATTTTAACATAAAATACTATATATATGGATATATAAATTATTCATATTTTATTCAATGTAAATGCACAAATTATCAAAATGTAATATAATTTTTATTTATTTATTTATTTATTATGAGCGGTTGTAACTGATTAATCAATATAAGTATTAGATCTTGACAAACCATTAATATCATCGTTGCATTTATTACTCAAAACCTAAGCCCAATCGTGACTAGCTATTATTTAGGGTTAGAGTGTTGTTAAAAGAAAGTTGTCTTTTTTTTTTTTTTCTCATTACATCATTTTTTTTTTTGCTTATTTCATAATAAAAATAATAATAATAATAATAATAATAATAATAATAAAGTTAAAGGGTATAAAAAGTCCATAAACTATAATTAAAAAAAATTATATAATCTCTTTTTTTTATTGCAATCAATTAACTCTTTAATATTTATTTGCATTTAATTAAAATTTTATTTAGATGAAAAAGTTAACATTGTTAATCTTTTTGTTAACTAAGATAAATTTTCATGTGACATCAATAAAATATATGAAAATTTGTCATTTGATGAAATTAATATATGTAAAAATTAAATAAAATAAAATTTTTATTTTCATTTTTTCCTTTTTTATTTTCTTTCCCTGTCTCTAAAACCCTTTAAAAATTCAATTGACTATAATTCAAAAATTGATTAATTCAATTTGGTTATGTATTAAATTTTGTCCAATTAAAAACTCAATTGTCGAAATAAAAAATTAATAACTCGATTGATTATAATAAAATATTAAGGACTTAAAATAATTCTTTAATTGTAGTCTAAAATTTTTTTTAACCCTTTAACATAATAATAATAATAATAATAATATTTGTTGATGAAGATAATTCTAGAAGCATAGTTATTTCCGGGTAATTCAGAGTTTCATTTCATGGTAGTTGGGAGTTGTAACCATGAACTCTTTTTTTCAAAAGGGGTCTGTTCCAAACTAGGGTCCATTGCGATGATTCCAAGGGCTAAATTTTCCATGGATTTTCAAACTTGAAAAGAAAAAACAAAAAGGAGGCTTTTAAAGCGTGTGAGAATCAAACTTGTATTTTTATTGTTCTTTATTTAATTAAGGTTGTTCTTTTATGATTATCAGCCATTAGTTTTGTTTATGATTTTCAGCCTAAAAACTAAAAATATTTGAATCGAATTTAATTATAATTTTTATTAGTTTTTATACAAATTTTAGATTTTTATAAATTATAATAATTATTTTATATCTAAATTTATTTGAATATATTAAAATAATAAAAAATTAATAACATTAAAAATTTTTATTTTAAAATTTTAATAAAATTCAATTTAAATTAATTCGATTTCAAAGAAAAATTGGTTTGAATTTATATCAAATTTGAAAAATATTTAGAATACTATACATCAACTAAAATAACAAAACTAAATCAAATCTGATTTTTTTATTACCTCTAAACTTACTGGTAAAGTATTAAACTTTTAATTTTAGTGATTAAAATTATTTTTTGTAAGTATGTCAATACTCAATAGTAGTAGAGCATATTTCTTTGTTTAAGTTATCATTTTCTTGGAAAAGGAGATTAATTGAATAAAAAATATGGATATATTTATATATAGTTGTTTGTTTGAACCTTTAGATATTTTGGAGTCAACCAGATAATTTAAAATATGATGTGATGATATGACAAAAAAATAATATAAAAAATAAAGTTATTACGGTTTAAAATTTTAATAAAAATTATATATGAATTTAATAAAACATAAAAAAAATTATATTTTTATGTTAATACGAAATGATACATAATTTTTATGTAAAATATGACATTAATTTATAAATTATCAATATTTTATAAGATATAGATATACAAATTATCAAATTTATTTTGAAATCTTTGGAAAAATAAGCGATATTGCGAAGATATCCTAGTCTTAGTTCTTGGACATGGCATTATTTTATTACTGTGTGGGGTTTAACAACCTGCTGTCGTCTAACCGTGGCAAAGTAGTTTGGTGCGACGACGGGGATTTTCAAGCATGGAGGATGCTTAATTTTAAACGCCAAAGGACTGAAAATTCCCGTCGTGATCAACAAACATAGTGTTGGTTTTATAAAAGAAATCAAAGCTCGGGGAAAACTTTGAAAAAATTACAAATATCGGAGATCGAATTCTAGACTTGCATGAATACACCAAGACAAATTTTTATGTGCTCTCATTTTGGACTCATTTTCCTATGAATTTTAGACTTATCGATTTTAATTATATTTAATAATTTGTGTATTTATATTTGTTTATTTCGTGTTAAACATATGTTTAACACAAAAATTGTTATATTATAATTTGTGTTTATATATCAAAAGTGAAACATATTTTTTAGTTTTTTATCAAATTTAGATATAATTTTTATTAAAATTTTAAATTATATTTATTTGTGTCGAGTTCTGATATGAATATATTCTTGAAAAGATAAAAAACTAGAAGATAATAGTTAAGTGAAAAGGCAAGGAATCACTCTATGCTTTTGTACATTGATGCGCAAATCAAAAGTTAGAAATCAAGATGAAAAAGATGATAATGTTTGGATGATTATATTTATATATGAGAGGTAGTGGATCAATGGAGGACAATAATAATATAGCCGAATTGATGTAACATTAAATATGTCAGGTCAATCTAACATGTTAGATCGGTACTAATGTTCGAAATATCTTCATCAATATTACTTTTATATTTTGTTTATATTGTGTTTAAAATTATTGATCTAATTTTAACCCATTTTTCCTGCCTTGTATTCAACATGTTTTCCTTTTCCTATTTTGTTTCACAACTACTTTTTCTAACCTGATTTCCTAGATTTTGCTCCTTAAAGGGGGCAAGCTACAGAATAATCCGATCATCCAAAACAAGACAAAAAAAATAAAGGGTTGGTTGGAAACGATGTTATTTTGTCCTAATAGGGTAGTTGAAGCCTTGAAGATTCATCAAACTAATCAGCAATGGTGCAGAATTTTTTTCTGGAGATATTTATTTATAATATATATAAAAATTCATTGATAAATTTATTAATTTTACCGACGTAAAAAATATTCATAAGAAATTTTAGTCAAATGAAAATTTTTTCTTAAATTTTTTTCTTATTTTTCGATTTTAAGGGTGTCTATAAAGTGGATCCTTCACTGCTAATCAGACACCATAGATTTCATCGATGCAATTGTCTTGTAGCAGGTGGTTCCCTCAAAACCCAAAAGCAATTGTGTGAAAGGGCAAAATGTGTTTAATCGACCAACATTTGCCATGTAATGAACCAGATGATAAAATCATTGTCTTTGGTTTATATAATAGAAACACAATCTCGTATATAACCACGCATTTGTCTACCAAAAACACCTTCATCTCACTTTTTCGAAAACTCCAACATCAATTTAGTTTGGTAATTTGCTTATATGACAATACTAATATAAATCTAATAATTCGTGTGTTTATATCATATAAAATATTGATAATTTATATATTTTTATTATATTTTATACAAAAATTATGTGTTACAATTCTTGTCAGACATACAAAACACGAAATATGTTTATTTTATCTTTTTTAAATTCATATATAGTTTTTACTAAATTTTGAACTGTCATATGGTTTTCGTTTTCGTGTTATGTAACTGTATTGTATTTTAAGTCATTGGTTCTATACTTAAGTATATTACAACCTTGTTGTTACCGGTAGGTTTCATAGATCTTCACATACATTCTTTATAATGTTTGTTACCATATTCTAATTTCTTCCAAAGAATTCTACCAACACCCCTGGTTTTAAGCTCACACTCTTCTCTTGGCACAGATTTCTTCTCCAACAATGGTTGGCTATTTTTTCAGGGCAGCCTGAAGTGAATTGTGCATCATCAATCTGACACAAAGCTATGGCATGCACAACCATGACTGTCCCTGCATCGACAGTTAAAGATGGATGCAAAGAAGAGATCAAGGGCCTTCGGAGATCACAATCTGACATAAATCGTCGAAAGAAAGTTGGCCTTCGAAGGTCGCGTTCAGATGATCACCTTTGTTACTCTATTAATCGGATACGTGCTGCATCAACAAAACCAATCCTGAAGAATAGCCCCTCTGTTGGGATTTTTCCGAAGCTCCCTTTCCAAATATCCAGTTCCATAATTCCAAAATCTGTTAGCTCATTTTTGTTTGACCTAGAGACGAGTAAGGATTCGAGTATGGTGGACAATATCGATGACAACTCAATGGAAAACAATGAGGAAGAAAAGGAAATAAAGAGAGCAAATTGGTTGAACAGGTTGCTGGAGATTCGAAGTCGATGGAAATATAGACAAGTACAAGAGGGTGTAGAAGGAGATGGAATATATGATGAGAATCAAAGTGGAGATGGCGATTGTGATGTACATGGTGGCTGTGAAGTGAACTATGACTCCGAAGAAGAGGGTGGCAGAGGTGGTGAAGAGAAATATGACCGCGAATCGTTCTCGAAATTATTGGTTCAGGTGCCATGGTCTGATACCAAGCTGTTTTCCCAGCTCGCCTTCTTGTGCAACTTAGCTTATGTGATACCACAGATTGAGGTATGTTTCTCCAAAATTCATCAAGCTTTTGCTGTTTAGAACTATTCTTTGATTTTTGTGAGCAAATTTCATTGTTATAAGCTTTGATTCTCGTCATCTATGTGCAGGAAAATGATTTAAGAAACTATTCTGGCCTAAAGTTTGTAACATCATCTCTAGAAAGGAAAGCAGAAGTGGCTACAATTAAAGCAAAATTCGATCAGGACTCTACTCGCGTACCTGTTTCCGCCCCAGAAATTACCAAATTGGAGTCAATGAAAGCTGAGAGTTCAGAGCAGAAACGCCGCCCAATCCGTTTATCTGTGGTTTCTGAGATTGCGGCTTCAGCTGCATGCTACATTCAGTCACAGGCAAATGGCTTTTTGTCCCCTGGCTCTAAGTCACCTGAGGAGGATGGTGGCATGGATTCATGTAGATGTGGAGACCAGCCAGAAATGGAGGGGGAGAATTTGACCCGAGTGTATAACTCGGAGGTGGCTGCTTACATGGCAGCATCAACAATGACCGTAGTGGTTAGAGCTGGAGAGAAGGAAAAACTAAAGGCTGCAAAGGACCTTCAGTCGCTACATTCATCGCCTTGTGAATGGTTTGTTTGCGATGACTTGAGCACATATACCCGCTCTTTTGTAATCCAGGTATTAGTTCAATTCTGTTTATAGGCCTGCATTTACATTTCTCGAGCAACAATCAATCTGATATAGCATCTGATGTACAAATCATCATATACAAGTCATTTTGTTCTAAGACAAAGTTAAATGAGGAAAGATCAAATTGTTGAATCTTGATATCTTCTAGATTGTTTGTTTATATTTGCATATATGATCTAATTGAACTTGAACTGCAGGGGTCCGACTCTCTGGCGTCATGGCAGGCGAACCTTTTTTTCGAGCCTACTAAATTTGAGGTGAGCTTTACGCGAATGAAAATGGGAGAATTAGAAGAGTTACTAACTTAATGTACATCTAATACTATTATTCCCTTACAGGGAACTGATGTGCTTGTTCATAGAGGAATTTATGAAGCTGCAAAGGGCATATATGAACAATTCATGCCAGAAATTATGGATCATCTGAACAGGCATGGAGATCGGGCGAAGCTTCAATTTACCGGTCATTCCCTTGGGGGTAGTCTTTCCCTTTTAGTTAACTTGATGCTGTTGACTAGGAAGGTTGTAAAGCCTTCTGCTCTTCGACCAGTTGTTACTTTTGGCTCACCATTTGTGTTCTGCGGAGGCCAAAAGATACTAGATGAATTGGGGCTAGATGACAACCATGTTCATTGTGTGATGATGCACCGAGACATCGTCCCTAGAGCCTTCTCCTGCAAATATCCAAACCATGTCGCGGTTCTCCTCAAGCGTCTGCCTGGTTCCCTCCGATCTCACCCCTGTCTACTAAAAAATGTAAGTACTTAAACGCTTTGCATCAGTGACGGATCCAAGATTTTTTCATTGACACCTTACTTGTACATGTGCATCCGGCCCTGCTTTGCCATCGCGAAAATAATCGGAGAACTAGACCCATATAATTCTCATTCATCTTTTCTGATGCAGAAACTTTTGTACACTCCACTGGGAAAGCTATTCATTCTCCAACCTGATGAGAAGTTATCTCCTTCACACCCTCTAATCCCTCCAGGAAATGCACTTTATGCTTTGGACAAGACACATAGGGGATACACATTGAAGGCACTCAAGGCCTTCCTGAACTGTCCTCATCCCCTGGACACCCTCAGTGATCTCACAGCCTATGGCTCCGAAGGTACCATTTTGAGAGATCATGACTCCAGCAACTACTTGAAAGCGGTTAATGGTGTCCTAAGGCAACAGAAAAAGATGCTTGTTCGCCGAGCCAGGATCCAGAGAGGCCTGTTATGGCTACTGCTGGTTTCACCATCTCCTCACTCATGGACCCATGATAGAACTTCAGATAGCCGCCTGTTGTCAAATAAGGAGATTATGACCTGTGTGTGAACTTTGCAGGGCCGGATCGAATGGCAAACTAGGGTATCCAAAGATTGAAAAACCAAAAATTTTTTAAAAAATTTCTCATGGACACTTTGTTCGTAAATAAAATGGGTAAATTTCTCACGATTTTTTATATATTATAAGTGGACACTTATGAAATCGAATCCGTCATCTATCCAACATAAACAAAAAAAAAAAAAAGAAAAACATGTACATTCACTGAACTTATAGTCTTTTGCTATGTCTCAATGGCATTCATTGTTGACTAAAATGTCAATGTTCTTGTCTACAACCCAAAGGCCACTAGAAAAGGGAACAGTTGTACCCAAAACATAAACATAACAAACAAGATTATATACAAATTTATATTAGTACTTTAATTTTTGTTCTATCTTGTTATAACATGCCAGTTGTGACTATTCGCATTTGTAAAGTATTATTTGTTTTATTTATTAGATTTTATAATTTTATTGTTTCATAAGTTAAAGATGTTATGATATGAACATTTATATTTCAAATCAAATTTTAATACATAATCGATACAAAATTCATGGGTATCATCATATCAATGCATTAAAAACTTAGTAGATTGTTTCATAATTAAATTGAAAAAATAAAGAGAAGTTTTAAGTTTAAATATGAAACATTTTCATCATCATTTTTTTTTGGGGGGATAAATGTGGTGATTTTATTGATTCAAGCAAAAAATTAATACAAAAAATGAAATTACAAATTCACTGCTTGACAAAAATATGAGACAAAATAAATTAACGTAACATATGGTTCAATTCCTTATATATATATATATATATATTTACAAATTTTAATAAATTAGCATTTGTCCTACCTTGTTTATTGTTTGCCATAGCAAAAAAAAATTCTAATAATTACCATCAACTAATAAAAATATAAACGAATCAAATTTGAAAGAACAAACGTATTTTTATAGTTTGTTTGTTTATTTTTAAAATTATTTATGTTCGATAAAAAAAAAATTATTCATTGCATTCAAGTTTAATTCATTTAAATGCTAGGACGTTCACATTTGATGTATGTTCGATTTATTTAAGTTAAACAAATTTATTTGTGAATATTAAACGAATATATTCATCAACATATATAAACGGGTATGTTTATGAATAATAAACATATCAAAATCAAATAAATTTAAACAAACAAACATATAATTATAAAATTAAGAATAAATGAATAATAAATGAATATAAACAAATCTTAAACGAACAAGTTTTAAATTAACCTTAAACGAATTTATTCATGAATATAAATAAACTAAATAAATAACTATTTGTATTTGGTTCATTTAATTCAAAATATTTTTTTTAATTTAATAAATGAATATAAATATATAAAAATTGAAGATGTTTACGTGCGATTCATTAAAATTTTGTTCATTTACACACCTATCAAGGCAGTCAAATACAATTTTTCTTGCACTCTGTCTGGGTGCTACTTGGCCGAACTAACTTACCTATTATTTCATTATCTCAGCTAGCCTTACCTTCCAAATGCTATTGAACTTACTATTTCTCAAAAGGCTAGTCTAATTAAAAATGTAAAATAATTTGTTTGGTTATAATTTATTTATTATTTATGACAATATTCGTTTATACATACTCATTAATATATTCATTTAATATTTATGAATAAATTTGTTTAACTTAAATGTATCGATCATAAACCAAATGCGAGTATTTTATTATTTAAACAAACCAAGCTTAGATGTAATGAATGATTTTCTTATTGAATACAAATAGCTCTAAAAATAAACGAACAAATCAAAAAAATATGTTGGTTAATTTATATTCGATTTGTTTATATCTCTATTCATTGATTAGAATAAATTTATTTAATTGTAGAAAATTTAAAATTAAAATCTCAATATTTTTAATTAGATTTTGTAATTCATTTATTTATATTGTGTAAATATAAATAATTTATATATTCATATCTATTGGTAACCGCCTATAATGGGTGAGTTACCATGAAGGTAATTGTATGTAAGATTAAAGTTCATGTAATATATATTTACGAACATAATCATATATATTTACTTATTAAGCGGAAGTGGAAAACTAACTTGAATTACTGGTTGTTGAATAAGATTATAAAACAAAAATTGTTCATTTTCACAACATAGTTCTTCAACACATTGAAGTAAGAATTCCTCTTTAGAGTTGTACGATGCTTGCTTGATTGCTTTTTCACCTTTTTTTTTTCTATTTCTTTGTACACAAGGTGAGACATCTATTATGCCATGGACATGGTAAGCAGATATCAATCTAATACAGGTCAATCCCATTGGAAGGTCGTTAAAAAGATAATGAGATATCTAAAAGGCACTATGAATTATTTATTATGCTATTAAGGTGCCATAACGTATAAATCCGTAAATTTATCGTTAGATATGATTTAAAGAGTCACCATCAATTTTTTTTATTTAGGTATAATTGGCTACCTAATTAAATCTGTCCCATTTTAAAAAGAAATCTCAAACTTAATGCGTGTATCTTTAAAAGATAGATTCTAGTATATTAAATCAAATCTAGATCTAAGAGTATAGTTATGTGTGAGGAAAATTATAACACTCTCATAATGCTTATCCAAAATATGGTACTAGTAAACTTTGTGTTATCCAAAGCCTTAAAAAAATCTTACCATATAATTAATTATTGAGAATTATTCTTAATAGATTTCAATATTTTGGCAAAAAATTAAGAGAATTTATTCACCTCAGGAGTATGGAAGAAAACTATTGTTTCTCTTCTACAGGCTCAATCATCGGATTATTTAACATTTATTTAATGAAATTAAAAAAAAAGTTAAATTCTAAGAAAAAATTGATACTTCAACGTTTTCTTAAAAATTCTTTTTTTTATTTTATTTTAGAAAAAAATTAATGCTTGTAAGAAAAAATTGATACTTTCAACTTTTTCCTCAAATATTTTTTTGAAAATTTTTTTTTGTTTAAGAAAAATTGGTACTTTAACTTTTTCTCAAAACGTTTTTTATTTAAGGAAAATTTATACTTCAACTTTTCCTCAAAATATTTTTTTGAAATATTTTTTTATTTAAGGAAAACTGATACTTCAACTTTTCCTCATACATTTCTGAAATTTTTTTTTATTTAAAAAAATTGATAATTCATCTTTTTATTTTTTTAAATTGTTTTTGTTTAAGAAAATTTTGATAATTCAACTTTGTTTTCAGAATTTTGAAATTATTTTTATTTTTATTTTTAAAATTTTTACCCAAAAAATCAAATAAATAAGTAAAATAACACCAAATAAAATACCAAAAAAATCTTGGCTTAGTTTGGCTTAAAAAATGGTTTGGCTTCTTTATAATGAAACGGCTCGAAAAACTCGACTTAGTGACTTGCAACTCAGCTTGGCTCGCTTTAACCAGATTGTGAAGTGGGCCATATGCTTGAAAGTGCTTGGTCAGGTTGGGCAGAAAGCCATATGCGGATCCTCCCTTGTATGAAACGCAACATTTTAGCCTAGCTTAACAGCTAAAATTTTCCCTTCCTTTCATTCTTTCAAACCACACATTCTCTCTAAAAAAATTGTGCTATGCTTCTTTTATTACAAAGTTTTCCCAAAAAATAAAAATCAAGAACACCGGCTAGTCTTCAAACCTTCCTAAAAAACTAGAGATGCTCAGTTGCTATTGCTGTCATTGTTGTAAGTTACCATCGGCCACTATCAAGTGACCACCAATTAGCTTCAAATTTCACTCCAAAGTTTGCCTCGGCCTCCTCATTCACATATTTGGTTAGTTTCTCTAGCAACTTAGTAGATTGTTGTAGATCTGAGTTGAAGTCACGGTTTTATCCCTCTTCTTTGCCTCTCTGATGGCTACCGCCTCTAGGCATGTTGTTTCCTTTTTTCTTGGATGTCTTGTTATCGATTTCAAAGCCCCAAAACCCCCAATATGAGGACCTAATTGAAACTTTAAAAAAAAATTTTCTTTGTTTCTAGTTTTCCTTTGGTTTTTAACTTTGCTTTGTTTTTTCTTTTTTTGTTTTCAATAGTGGCCATTTGATGAGAAGCTGATGATGGTTTATTGAAAATTGGATGTTAAAAATTAGGTATCACTCAACTGCCCTCTATTTGATTCTTTGCCTCTATCCTTGATTGGTGTTTGATTCCTGGGTATTTTTGGGTTTATTGGGTTGAAATAAGGCTCAGTTAAGGCTTGGTGACTTAATTATGTCTAGGTTTCTGGGATATTAGTGTGCAATTTAGGCTTAAAGGTCTCGGCTAGAATTACGATGGACTATTGTGATCAACTTTTATGGTAAGGGCTATTTTTAATGGTTTAGAGATAATGGTGAAGATAATAGAATAGCAATGGCAATGTGAATAGATTCAATCTTGTAGTTATGGGTGTTTGTTAAAATTGTTTACAGGTTTGGCTTCTTTAGAACTAGGTTTGTTTTATGGGTTATGAATTATTTTGAATGTGGTTTTTGTGGTGGTGTTAAGGCTAGAGGGGTTGTATTGGGTTTGATGGTTGAAATTGAGTAATTCACAGTGGTATAAGACTTTAGGGTTTACAATCTCGATGAATGATATTCCAAGCTGGATTATCAATATTCGTGGCTTTTATAGGATGGTTGGTAGTTGAATTTCAATAATGGCAGTGTTAGATTCTGGTGGTGAAGTGGTGGCTTGGATGGAGGAGAAGCTAAAGGTGAATGCTTTTTTTGGGCAGTTGCTTTCTATGTAATTGTTGCTTGTGATTTAAACATAGAAATGGGAATGGAGACAAGCTCATAGTGGTATAATAAAGTTGGTGATTTTGGAATTGATCCCTGGTTATTGAATTCCCTAACTACTCTGTAAAAAACATCTTATATAAGGAGGATGTAGATAGGATTTTAATTCAAAAACTGAGCATCCTATCCCTACAATAAGAATTTTGACTTCCTAAAGCATTGGAATTTCACAAAATTAATCTATCGAGTCTTATCACTTAATTTATCCCTTTTTTTTTTTCATTTTCAGAATAATAATAATAGCAAAAATAAATGGGCTTGCTTTAGATCTTAAATGTAACTTAAGCCTAAAACTCAAATGATAAATTCAAAACCAAATGGGTTAGGTCCAAAACTCAATTTAAACTAATTCAAGATTCGAGAATAACTTCGGACGAAATAAATTGTCTACACAAGGAAGTTATTTGCATTTGGTTAGCTATACGAATGTTGATTGAGGAAAAGATTTAGATGAAAAAAAATCTACCTTTGGCTATGTTTTCTTATTGAATAGTGGGGCAATTTCATTCAGTAGTAAGAAATAGAGTTGTATAGCACTATCCATAGTGAAAGCTAAATTTATAGTATTTTCAAAGATAATACAAGAGGCTGTTTGGCTTGAAAGATTCTTGAATCATTTGGGATTTGAGAAGAATGAGTCCAACTTAGTTTTAGTAAATTGTGATAGTTAAGTTGCAATCACATTCACAAAAGATCCCAAATATCATTCTAAAACCAAATATATATATACCAAGTATAACTACATGAGAGACATGGTTACATAAAAGAAAGTCAAGATGCAGTATATTTTTACCCATAAGATGATTGTAAATCCATTTAGTAAACCCATACCTAGAAAGGTGTTTAATAGCAACATGAGATCTTTAGGATTGTGTAGATATTGATGTATATGTACTAATTGAATAGTCCTATTTGAACAATATATGATATTTTTCCAATTGAATTGACTTATATTGAATACAATTAATACCATTAAAGTTTAGTATTTTATTTTAGGATACATGCATATATATATATATGTACATATACGATATGACTCGAAATGTATGTCGAATAGATGATTGGCCTTCTCACACAAGTAATCACCTCAATGGTTTGGCACCATAAAGATATGATTAGTTTTAAGCTATGGATCGAGAGACCAAGCTTAAAATAGAATCACCTTGATAAGTGATCAATATGAGGTTTTTCATATTGGGATTTGTGACCAAAAGTGAATAAGCCTATAATCCATGCTACTTGTCTTAATATGCTAGGTGAAAGTCCTGTTGATTATATGAAATCAAGTAGAGTTATGAATCTAAATTAGATATTGGGAATATCTAAACTATTACCTATACGGTATTGATATATAAATAATGAAAGACATATGCTCCATGAAAAAATGGGAGTAATATCGTAGCAAGTGTTTCATACCACATGTGCATTGTTCGACCAACAAGTTAACAAAAGAATGGATATTTGCTTTTTATTGTGTGAGATCCTTGGCATCAGAAGATCTCATATTTAGTATCCTCAAGAATTTTCGATTGTTTTTTAAAGTTTCAGTTTAATGTTAGCTATATTGAATTATTGTTAATGATCATGGATGATTCAATCTAATAAGACATATTTAGATAATAGTTGAATTGAAATAAGGAGATTTTAGAAGAAGGAAAGATCATTCTAGTGTCACATTTGATTGTATTCATAGGTTGACCAATTATATTTAAAACGTCAAATATAATTGTGAATAAACAAGTATATCATGCAATATAATAAAAAAGAGATTGTGAGAAACTTGAATTGTGATTGAATATATTTAAGGTGTTGTACACTTACTTTACTTGTACTTGAGAGTTACTATATATACTTAATAGTTGTATAAATAATTGGATCTGATTATGAGTTACTATATACACCTAATAGTCGTATACCTAATAGTCGTATAACAACTAAGCTTTCGAAGTATATTGGTCATATGGCTTATTTCCTTATATGAACTCGATGCAAATAATAGAGAAAATATTCTCGAAATCATGAGAGTTTGACGCCCATTATGTGCGAGTGGGAGATGTTGGTAACCGCCTATAATGGGTGAGTTATCATGAAAGTAATTGCATGTAAGATTAAAATTCATGTAATATATAATTATGAATATATATTAACTTGTTCGTGAATATATACTAATTTGTTCGTAAATATATATTACATGAATTTTAATTTTATAGTATCGTATTTTATATGAAATCGTATGTGATAATTTGTGTTAACACAAAAAATATAATATTATATATTTTATTTTTTAATCCATATGTAATCTTTATTAACATTTTAAACTATCCACCTTTCTGTTTTTATTTTTTTTATATCTGCATGTTGTATTTTAAATTATTAGATCTATTGATAAATTTTTTTTATTTTAGACAATAATATCTTCTATAAAGAATTATTTTTTTAATAAATGAGGTGTTTATTATACATTTCAGCAAGTTTAAAAAAGTGTAACAAAAGTATAAGTAAATGGCTAAATAAATTAGCCTAGTAATATGATGTCAAGATCCATTTTTACCAAAAATATTATTTGTATTTTCTTATTTATAAAAACTCTTTTTGTTTCTTTCATAGTATAAATAAAAGTGTTAATGCATTATTAATAATTTAAAACACAATGGTATTATGTAAAAACGATAAAAAAATATAAATTATATAAATTAAAATTTTAATAAAAATATATTTTTATATCAATATAAATTATAATAAATAATTTTTATATAAAACATAATATAAATACACGAATTATCGATATTTTACATTATATAAATACATAAAATTAGATTTAATTATTTTGTTTTAAGACAACAAAATTCTTGAAAAATTTATTTCAAATAATTTCTTCTATTTTCCTTTTTTTTTTTTTTTTCCATTTCTTCTATTTTCTCCTCTCTTCTTCTCTGTCTGGCAGAGATTCCATTACCGTCCCCTTCCTCTCATTAAATTTCCTTTTTTTTTTTAAAACCCTCAAATGAACAAACTTTTTCAACGTCAAATATCACGCCTCCACAATCCCTTGTTCTTGCAACCAAACACCCCCCTCTGTTTCATTTTCTCTGACTATCACCGCAAAAACCTTCTCTTTTGTCACCATTTCTGCCCAATCTTTTCCTTTTGCATTTGCCCTTTCGTCCTTTTTCACTTGTCCTTTTGATTTGCTGACACTTCCCAATATCCAGGATTGGTGCAGTTTCTATTTAGGGTTTTTGATTATCTCATCGCCCCATTGTTTCCCCATTTGCTCGTTGTTACTGCTAATTTTTTGATTTCTAGAGTTTTTTTAATCTGGGTTTTGTAGATTTTCTTGATAAAAGAAGAAATTTCATTTTTTAATCATTTTCTCTTGGAAATTTGTTGGAATATTGGCAGTTTTTGATTTACTTGCTATTTTATTACTTCAGAAACTATCATACCCATCCAGGGTTGTTCTCTGATTGATCGAAAAGAAACCCTAACTGAAACTAATTACAAAGTTTTTTTTTTATTATTTTGAAATTTATTTTCTTTGTTTTTGGTTGGGTTGTGGCGGTTGGGTGGGTTTAGAAAGTTGTTAGAGAGGAAGAGTGGTTAAGGATTGTATGGGAGAGCATGAAGGGTGGGCGGCGCAGCAGCCACCGAGCGGCCTATGGCCGAACGGTTTGTTACCAAACGAAACCACCTCGGTGGTTAGGATACTTGACTCGGAGCGATGGATGAAGGCTGAGGAAAGAACCGCTGACCTCATTGCCTGTATACAGCCCAATGCACCCTCGGAAGTTCGCCGGAATGCTGTTGCCGATTATGTCCAGCGCCTCATCTCCAAATGCTTCCCTTGTCAGGTCCAATCAAATGCTAATCCATTATAATTTATATTTGTCAAGTTCTACATTCTTTTTGATTCTATGTTAAGGAAATGATTGAATGGATGTATTTGATTAAAAATGTCTAAGGATGGATAAGTGGCATTCATATAAAGTATTAAGGTCATGTTTGGTTCATAGGATGATAATCATTCTATACCATGCTTGGTTCCTATCTAAAAAAGGGATAGGATTACAAGGAGGATCAATCATCCTCTTGTTGTTTCAATCCTTCTAAAATGGAAAGGATTACTTTTAATTCATGGGATTGAACTTACGTGTTTTATTATACCTTTTAAAAATTTACATAAATAATTTAAATTGTATAAATTTTGAGGAAGGATAATTTTGACCAATAAATAAAATTATCCTATCTTAATTTTTGCACATATCAAACATAAGATAGGATGATATTATTTAATCTAATTCTACTCATACCATCATCAATCAGATTTTAATGTGGAGTTGCTTGAATGCTTTCTGTTGACAGGTGTTTACTTTTGGGTCTGTGCCGCTCAAGACATACTTGCCTGATGGGGATATTGACTTGACGGCCTTTAGTAAGAATCAAATTTTGAAGGATACTTGGGTTCATCAGGTTCGTGATATGCTGGAAAATGAAGAAAAAAATGAGAATGCTGAATTCCTAGTAAAAGAAGTTCAGTACATTCAGGCTGAGGTAAAGTTATAAGGAGACACTGTTTCTTCACAATTCCTATGGAATCTTTCTCAGGAATCTCGGATTCAGTGGCAGGTCCACTATTTGACACCCCCAAAAATTCAGAAAATAAAAAATTTGAAGGAAAATTTTGACCCTAAAATTTTACCATGGACTCCCTTTCCTTTGACAAAATTGATAAACTTGTCTGCAGTTTTTTATATGTATTAAGGTGGAGACCCTTGGAAAAAAATCCTGGATCCGCCCCTGGATTTTATCTTTTTTCTTAGAATCTCTTGTTTACCATTTTGTCAATATTTCAGTATCTTTTGCTTTGCTAAATTTCTTCAATTAAAATTTGCACATCTGTGACACTTACTACTGTGCTAGGGAATCCTTATTTTCAGCATTATTCTTCCTATTTTTCATATTATCTCCAGAAATTTCTTGCATAAAACAAGCTGTAGAATTCTTCCACACCTTTACTCAATGTTGTTATCTTAATACATTAATTCATTTTGATATTTTATTTTCCTTCTCATACACTTTCAGGTGAAGATAATAAAGTGTCTTGTAGAAAATATCGTGGTAGACATTTCATTTAATCAGCTTGGTGGATTATGTACCCTTTGTTTCCTTGAAGAGGTTAGTGATGCAAAACCTGCCACTGCATGTCTGCTGATTTATTTGTGGAATGATAGACCTTTTAGGAATTTGTCTAAGTTTTAACCTAACTTAACGTCCATGTGTGTAGGTTGATCGTTTGATAAATCAGAATCATTTGTTCAAACGTAGTATCATATTGATAAAGGCATGGTGTTATTATGAGAGTCGTATATTGGGTGCTCATCATGGACTTATCTCAACTTATGCCCTGGAAACCTTGGTTCTTTACATATTCCATGTTTTTAATAAGTCCTTTTCTGGACCACTTGAGGTGACTATGTTGACCGTTCTATTTTTTATTCTTTTTCCATTTGTCTGTACATCTGTCTGATTTTTTTTTCCCTTTTCATGTGTAGGTCCTGTATCGTTTTCTTGAGTTCTTTAGCAAGTTTGATTGGGAAAATTTTTGTGTTAGCCTCTGGGGTCCTGTTCCAATTAGTTCGCTGCCAGACGTAACTGGTACTACAATTTCTGGGACATCTAATTCTAAGCATTGTACAAGAAGCTTCTACTACAAAACGTTTTCCAGTTTTCTATTCTTAATTGCATTGTTTGAAATACTTTTTGCAGCATATCCTCCTCGAAGAGATGGCGGGGAGTTGTTACTTAGCAAATATTTTCTTGATACTTGTAGTTCAAGATATACTGTTTGCCAAGAAAATCAGGGCCAACTCTTTGTTTCTAAACATTTCAATGTGATCGATCCTCTGCGTATAAATAACAATCTTGGACGTAGTGTTAGTAAAGGTAGTTACATCTACAACTTTGTAGTGGTTATTCTTTGTACTTTTTGAGGTTTCTCTTGATTTCTTTTTGACTTTTGTTCTCCCTGTTCAGCAATTCTCTGTTTGTCTGTCATAAGTTTCTATCCTTGGCTTAACTATTTGATACATTAAAATGTCCTTTTTCCCCATTTTGTTCCTGTATGGACCTACAGAATCCTTTTGAAGATACATTACAAACTTTTAAGAGTCACATGATTAAGAACTTTTGAAAATATTGAACTTAAATTGGTAAAAAGCGAGGTGAAGGGACTGTTAATGGAGGGAACGAAGGTGACAGCAAACAATTAGAATCTTAATTTTGTTTACTTCTGCACAGTTTTGACAATTACTGGAAACTTATATGATTTAAGCATGTCATGAATCAAAGATGGATACTATTTAATCTCTATAAGTACAACTATGTTAATCTCTTTGACAGTTTTAATTCTTTTGGAATTGTTGAGTTGTCAATTTTCGGTTCACTGTATACACCGCTACTAATAGGTACTATTGTGCATAAAAATAATTTTCTATTCTCCAGGTAATTTCATTAGGATATGCAGTGCATTTGCATTTGGGGCTAAAAAGTTGGACAGATTACTTGATTGTCCCAAAGAGGACCTGTACTATGAAGTAAATCAATTCTTTATGAATACATGGGAAAGGCATGGCAGTGGCCAACGTCCTGATGCACCGAGTAATGATCTGTGGCATTTGAGATTGTCAAATTCGGACCACAATCATGGGTCTAAGAATGTCAGGAACAATTCAAGCAGCAAAGGAAATGGTATTTCCTCTGGGTGTGAATCTCAAGCTGAAGGAGCTCAAGGATCATCTGGTGTTTCCTCACAGCATGTTAATTATCCATTGGAAAGCATAACTAAGATTAATGATGTATCTACTGTCTCTCGTACTCAAAGCCAAAAGAGTTATGGTAGCATGAGCAACTCAAAGACATTTGATCAGGTTAGAAGGGACACTAATTCCAATCAGAATGTGCATAATGATGCAGGTCACAGAATTTCCAAAGCAGAGAATTTGGTGACTGATGTTCAAGGTAGATATCTTTTTGCAAGGACGCGTTCCAGTCCTGAGCTTACTGAAACATATGGGGAAGCTACTTCTCAAGGAAGGCGGAACAGAGTGCCAGAGATTGGGAAAACCCAGATTGGTTCTATGAGGTTGGATAACAACGAGAGGAAGAATATGAAATTTGATATGGTGGCAAACCATAACATTAATTCTTCATGTGATGATCCTTCATCTATTAGGCAAGCTTCAACCTGTCAAAGCATTGATGATGATGCTGATCCAAACAATTTTCTAAATAGTTACCAAGATGATTTAGGCTTGGGAACTATAGGTCAGGGCTTCTCTTCAATTCCAGCCACACAAGGAATGCATCAAGAAGAGCAAGATCTAGTGAACATGATGGCATCTTCTACAGCTAATGGCTTTAATGGTCAGGTTCCTCTTCCTCTTAATTTTGCTGCAGGTCACTTACCTTTTCCTATCCATTCTCTATCAATGGGATACGATCAGAGAAATTTGGGCGGAAGTGTTCCTTCAAATATTCAAATGTTTCCCCAAGGATTGGTCTCTTCTCCTTTGGCTCATTATATTTCTGGCATTGGATTAGCCTCGAATTCAGAGGATCCAATTGAGCCAGGTAGTGAAAATTTTGGATTTCCAGAAATGAACGCAGGGGAAGTGGAACATGAGTTATGGCATGAACAAGACAGGGGCTCTAGTGGTGGTTTTGATCTTGATAATGGAAGTTTTGAAATGCTTCACTCAGATGATAAGCAACTTTCAACTTCAGCTGGCTATAATGTTGTTCCTTCATCTAGGGTAGGTAGCTCTGGTAGTTCTACCAAAGTCCAACAGAAGTTTACTAAAGAAGCTCGAGGATCAAGTAGGGAAGATCATCTAGATGTTTGCCAATATCAAGATAACAGAGGTAATGATATTCACTTTGATGAAAGAACTGCAAGTTCTAGATCCATACCTGCTTCACATACTAGTTCACTCAGAAGTAAAACCTCATCAGAAAGTTCTTTGGAAGGATCATTAGCAAAGGTCTCTAAGCCAGCTAGGGAGAAACGGGGTAGGAAAACAGCTGCTGCTACGCTTCCTTCTGCTGCATGTGGGAAAGGTAAGAGTGTATCTGAACATTCTTCTCAGGCAGGTGACGATGGCAGAGACTGGAATCCACCATCAATGGTGGGCACTGAAATGGAAGAAAGAACTACTGGACCTCAAACAGTTGGTTCTTTGCCTGTTCCAAGGCATCAAATGCCTGGATTTGAGGCAGCTCAGGCAAGTGGATCAGATCCACTGATACCCATCGCTCCATTCCTCTTAGGTCCCAGTGCAGGGCAAAGAACTATGGATAATTCTGGAGTTCCTACCTTGGCCTTCACGATAACAGGGCCACCTGTTTCATTTTTGTTGTGCCCTGTGTACAACATTCCAGCAGAAACAGGAACTTCAGATGTATCAGCAAGCCATTTTAGTTGGGATGAAGGTTTGGATAACAATAATTCTGGTCAAAATTTTGAATCATCTGAGGGACTTGATCAGTCTGAGGTGTCAAGTACTTCTAGTTCTATGAGAAAGGTTACATCTCTTGAGCCATCAGAGCATAAATCTGACATTCTTAATGGTGACATTGCTAGCCATTGGCAAAACCTGCAGTATGGCCGGTTTTGCCAAAATTCACGACATCCTCCACCTTTGGTTTATCCTTCACCTGTTGTGGTGCCACCTGTCTATATACAAGGTCATTTCCCATGGGATTGTCACGGGAGACCTCTTTCATCCAACATGAATATCTTTTCTCAATTTGTGAATTATGGGCCTTGTATTGTTCCTGTTACTTCCCTCCAATCTGTTTCAAATAGACCTCCCGGTGTATACCAACAGTATGTTGATGAAATGCCAAGATATCGCAGTGGTACTGGGACATACCTGCCAAACCCTGTAAGTCATGTTGACAATCTGTAATGAGCCTTTATTACCTTATATTTCTGCTATTGAACTTTGCATGCTTTGGAGTTTGGAGAGTAATGTTGATTGCATGGTCCTGTTTTTTCCATTCTCCATTAATTGGGTATGCATTTTTATTGTGGACAATCATTTGAAATGTAATACTATGTTGGTCATAAGATACGACTACATCTATCTGTCTCCGATGGGTTTTTTGAAGTGATCTTAATGTTGTATGGCTCCCATTTCTGTGTTGTTTTACCTTCAGAACTATAGCCTTCAATAATTTTTTAATATGATTTTTTTCTACTTCAGAAAGTCTCAATGAGAGAACGCCATTATGCAAATTCAAGGAGAGGAAAATATAATTCTGATAGAAATGACCACCATGGTAATAGAGAAGGGAACTGGAATGCCAACCCAAAGTCACGAGCTGCTGGCCGCAGCCATAGTCGCAACCAAAATGAAAAATCAAGGTTCACGTTTGATCAAGTGACAGCTGTTGCTGGTCAGAGCAGAGCCGAGAGGCCTTGGGGCTCACGTAGACATAATTCATTTACTTCATACCAGTCTCATAATGGACCAATCAGCTCAAACTCTTCAGAAAGTAGTTCTGCCTGCATGCCATATGGCATGTACCCACTGCCAGCCATGAATCCCAGTGGGGTGTCGTCTAATGGACCTACTATTCCGTCTGTTGTCATGCTGTATCCCTATGATCATAATTCTGGTTATAGTTCCCCTTCTGAACAGCTTGAGTTTGGCTCTCTTGGACCAGTGGGTTTCTCAGGCATGAATGAAGTATCACAGCTAAGTGATGGAAGCAGCTCTGCTGGGGTATTTGACGAGCAAAGGTTTCATGGTACCTCTACTCAACAATCTTCACCAGACCCACCTTCCTCACCCCACCTCCGAAGGTAATTTGTCTTGTTTATCTGAGGTAGTTTCTTTATAAGAATTACCAAAAGCAGTCAGCCCGAAAAGTACCCTGCATCTATACTATTGTCGAACTGCCATTGCTGGTCTAGCAATAGAGTTGATGGTTGAGTAATTTCTGTGGGCCAACTCGAATGAGCTGCATGGAAATGGCTGCCTGCTCCCCACCCTCTTCCAGGCTGGTGTTCTCATATTTCTGGTGGGTTGTCTTTCTGTCATAAACCATGAGTCCTGACTGGTGGTTATATCATATATGGAAACTATAATATTCTGATTTTATACCTTCTTTTGTTTCAATCTGATTGTTTTATGATGCTCTCGTTATTTATCTTAGCAGGGGACTTTGATTTTATTGCCAGATCAGTGGCCCAGAAGGATTACAATTGAAAGATGAGGATTCCCCACCCCTTGCTTTTCCATTTGAGGGAAGAAATGATGGTGGGGGTACCTACAATGAGAAAACCTCCCCTTTCCGGGCTTTTTTGTGCTCATCTCACTCATTAAAGCAAGATTCAGTGATTTTTTCTTACAAGATGGTCGCTCATGCTTCCTGCCTTGTGCTTGTATGTGCACTATGAATGATGAAAATCATTTTATGAAAGTTCTCTGATTTTGAGGATATCATAGAGTAATGGTGAAATATATGCAGGAGTCAAAGGTTAAGAGTTTAAATTTAGGGTTCTACACATTGTAACTGAAATAGGATCTCTTTAGGATTATAACTGAAATAGGGTTTTTTCATTTTTTTTTTTCTACTTTATAATTTCAGTCTACTAGCTCTCTTTTGTTAACCTTCTTGTTGAAAGTTACCAGTGTATTGATAGCATTTACATGGTAAAAAATGAAGTTACAGAAACAGAAACTAGGTGTTTTCATGGTTGTTTCATCTTTCATGGCATTTATTTTTAGTAGTTAGATTATCAAGATTTGAACTATGATCACCAAATCAATCGATGATGTGAATATGGACTATGATCACCAAACTGTCCTTGTCTAGTACTTAAAAATACAAAATTTGTCTCGAAGATATGAATGAAGTCTGTTAGTATCTTTGATCGGCTGTTCGTGAATATGTTTAATTTTTGCTTTTATATGATTTATTTATTAAATTTAACAATAATCACCAATGACATTTAAAATTTTGTTAATTAAACAAATAAATAACAAACATGGTAAAGTTTGATCATGTTTGATTTTTTTTGAAAACGAACGAAGTTTTTAATGAACAATTTGTAATTTGTAAATTTTTATTTGGTGATTAATTAAACAAAAAGATAAATTAACCATGTTCATTTATTTTTGATTTATTTATACCTCTAAAGCAAACTAATGGAAATACATCAATCTAAATAAATCACTAATAAACGAAAATACGAAGATAACAACAGCAATTACTTAATGAATTTCAAATTTAACTCAATTCATAAAATTAATTTTAAAAGATAAAATTTAACATGTCCACGATTCAAATCCCAATATATGTCTTTCGTTCTCATATTAAGACTTTTTTTGGTATTGTTTTGTACCAAAAAGAATAACAATCACTTAATATCCGGTGAAATGAAAATGGAATTTTCTTAGTCTTGTAGAGATATATTCACAAGTGATGTGATAATTGGGATGATTGAATCACTGGTTGAGCTCCATGTCTATTTGGCACGCAGACCAGGAGTATTCCTTAGACCCATCTTCGAGAGGACGAGCTTAGGAATTGCAGGAGGGTTGTCCAGACCCATGCTTCTGCTGAACTCATTAGCAAGCTCCACAAGTCTGTACTTATCCCTGCCTACGTTCTTATCAGAATTGTAATAACCAAGCCATGCCTGATAAGCTGATTCTTTGATCCCCATCTCTACGTTAGAAAGTGCCCGCTCCACCTGTTCAACCATATTCTAGCACCATTATAGATTTTCCGGGGTATTCACTTACCAATGCGTGTTAAGGCTTAATATCACTAATGACCCTTCCACTATAACGAAATGTTTAATGTGATACATAAATTATGAATATGTGACTAATGTGATAATATGATATTCGCTCCTAACATCGTTAACTCCTAAAGATAACACATGACAGACAATCAGCCTTCTAAGTACTACATGATTATTAGAGTTATAGTTCAAGTATCATATTAAAAATTGTTAAAGTTTAAATACCATATTAAACATTTCACTATAGTTCAGGGATCATTTTTGTCCTTTAGTTAAGGAGCATGGGGAATAAGTAGCCTTAGAAGGTACATTCTACTAAAGCTGACCTTTTTCTTTGTGTCTGGATCCACTGAAGGCAAGGGAGTCTTTGTTATTGGCAAATCCTTGATGCTAGATATAAAGAATTCCTCCCATGGTGCCAGCAGGAGTAATCCTTGCCCTTCTTTACCCTTTCGGCCGGTTCTACCTAGCCGATGTATGTACTGTTGTCTGTCAGATGGCAAGCCCACCTGGTAAATAGTAAAAGAAATTGCAAAAGAAAACCATCAACAGTAAAGAAAACTATTGCACAGTAGACAGAATATACATTGAAGAAAGTATAGGAAAGCTTAAGTTGAAGAAAGAATTTATTCTTCCTCCGAAAATTGAACAGGATTTCTGACTTGCAAGCAAACTACCTCATTTCACTAGAGGTTTGGAGCATATCAGTATATTTTCCAACTAATAGAACTGCAGAAAACGGGGACGATATTCTAATTAGAAAAATAACACCTCCTTACCTGTATGACAAGTGTAACATCAGGATAATCAACCCCACGAGCAGACACATCAGATGTCACAAGAATAAGACCTTTTGACTTTCGGAATTCATCGGATACCTTTGTTCTATAACTCTGTGACTTTCTTGAATGGATCTCTCTCACATTCAGGTTCAGCTCACGAAGAATGTTAGCTACCAACCTTGTTACCATAGCAGTAGTGCAGAATACGAGAACCTGCAGAAACAGACTGCTAGATTACATATTTTGTGTAAGGATCAACAAAATGATGAGCAAAAGCATAAGTGACATTTGGAGAAAAACACATTTGTTTTTAAGTTCCAATATTAGACATTTAATAATTGGGGCTAGCCATATTTTTATAGAGAGTATATCACTGACAATCATTGCACTACAATTAACCAATCACAATTTAGAATTGTGTGATCCATCAAAATTTCATATGAAACCCACACTTATAAGTGGTGGACCTCTACATAATTCTTTATAGTGATTGGACAATTGTAGGATTGTAGTAAAAAGAATTGTAGGCGAAATGATCCCGTTTTTATAATAGCAAAGGTTTTGAAGACAACAAAAGTAAAATTTCTCTAACTAGAACTTTCCAACTAATAATCTAAAGCAAAGAACCATGAAGTAAAATTGCACCTTGTAGTCAACATTATCTGCAATATGTTCTTTCAGAACACCATACAGCAGGGAAAAATGCTTGTCTAGTGGAGCAACCATGTGCATTTGTCTGACCTGATGTATAAAAAATTTAAGCAATTAAGACAACAAGAAAATTCCATGTTACATAGAAAATAGCAGGCTGTAAAGTCTACCTGTGAATGTGTCTCCTCAGTGCCTTCTTGAACTGTGTTGATAAATTCATAATCTCTTCTCAATGCAATGTGGCAGATTTGGTGGACCTTCACCCCAAATTGCAACTTCAGAATTTTCTTAAAATTTTTGAAACATCAATATCAAATACACTCTAGGGATAAAAAAAAAGAAACCTCTTTAGGAACTGTTGCAGAAAATAAAAGTGTCTGTCGTTGTTTTGGAACAGCAGCAATTATCCTTTCGATGTCTTTACGAAAACCCATGTCTAACAAACGATCTGCTTCATCGAGGACAAGGACCTTCACACCTACCAGCCTTGTTGCAAATCCTGCAGTATTCTCAATATGGTCTCTGATCCTTCCAGGAGTAGCAACAAGAATCTGAGAGTTAAAATAGGAGTAAAATGTAAAGACATCCTACTATAACATGGCCTTGATAGTAAATGCATTATTAATTCACAGTGAAGATCTGGAGTCAGGTTGACAGGGAACTGATGATTCCCTGATTTGATGAATTAAGACAGAATCTAAAGTTTGATCCATTTAAATTCTCTCAATCTCATTCCAGTCCATGAACAGTTTAAGAATGTAAATAAGGTCAATATATTTGTCCCACCATTGCCTTAGTGAATGACAAGCCACGCACCAATTACAAGAAACTCACCTGGCATGGGTTTGCTTGCAGGTGTTTTTGCTCTAAAGCAAGTCTTGTACCTCCGATGACAACTTGAATGCCAAGAGAGGGATGATACTTCAGCAAAGTTTTACCTTCTGAAGCAGCTTGAATGGCAAGTTCTCGAGTTGGGCATATTATAAGAACATGAATTGGTGGTCGTTTAACATCACGGTCAGTAGGAGGCAATTTCAAAACAATTTCAATTGATGGAAGCTGAAAATAAAGAAAAAAACAGTAAGCAAAGTGAACAACTCCAGCAGATCTAATAATTAGGAGCACCAATTGGAGTAAGTTTCACTAGTTCACAGAATTCCTACTTCCAATACATGCCGCAATGACATCACAGAAACTAATTATTATGATGCCTATAATTAATATCTCTCCCTAAAAGAGAAAAGAAAGTTAAGACCAGGAGAAAACAAAAACATAGAAAACGACAATCTTGTTGCCCTGGATAGATATTTACTTCTCTTTTTTCCCATAGAAAAGGAAAATGATCATTTAGATCTTATTTAAAGAAAAAGGAAAAGAAAAGAAAGAAACTTTTATAACTTTGATAATGCAAAGCATTCAAAGATCATTAGAAAATAATAGGTCATAAAGCAGATATTAACCCCTTATTACACAGACAAAGTGTGCTCAAACATACAAAAGCAGCGCCTTACCAAAAATGCTACCGTCTTTCCCGTTCCCGTTTTGGCCTTGGCCAATACATCCTTGCCTAAACAAAAATGGAAAAAGTGATTAGCTGTTGGGATATGAAATATACTGAATAAAATCAGCAGAAAACAAACACGCAAAGAACAAAATCAAACGCAATATCATTTAAGGATTTCACAATATTAACTGATTAGCAACCTATGGGGCACAGCTCAAAAGAATTGTCAGTTAGGCAAACCACATAATATCAAGCTAAAGAGATGTAAACCACATGGATTAATCTTTTAAGGCTACCTGTTAACCATTCCATAGCCAAAATTTAGAAGCTATTTAAACAAAAAGAAATTCCGAAAAATGCCACACAGTTGCATCTACTCTTGCAGGACATTTGGCTTCCTTATCATTAACAATGAAAGCATTCAATAGTAAAAAAGGGGTTAACATGTAATTTGGCATTGAACCACGTTACTTTCAATGATTTGGTACCTATAGAAAAACATTCATAATTAGGTACCCGAGCTTGCTTCCTTCAAGCATTTTGCATCATTGACTAACACGGTTAGTCAAAATGCTGACACAGCAAATGTTGACCAATAAAAATGTGTCACATATCATAATATTATTGATTGTTTTGCCATGTCAGCTTACCGTTAAAAGAATTAGTAAGAGGCAAAATCCTCAAAGATCACAAATTTTAGATACCTAATCGTAAATTTTTTCAAAGGGTACTAAATAGTGAAAAGAGGTATATTTAGAGGGCTACATCATATGTCAATCTTAAAAAAAAGACAATAGATTCTACAAAGATCCCATCATTGAAGTTTTGGTTATAAATAATGCAGGAAAGGAAACAAACCTTTCAGTATTGCTGGAAGAGTTGCCTCCTGTACTACAGTCATCTTCTCATAGCCAGCATCCTTGATTCCCTTTAGTGACAAGGGAGACAGTGATAATTGATCAAATCTGCAAGCACAACAAAAGATCACACATTTACAAAAACACTAAGAAATAGGAATCATATCTCATAAAAGCAGATGCGGATCCACATTCAAAAGCAATGTGTCTATGAACATCCCAAAATTGAAAAACAAAAAAATTTAAATGAAAATTTCCTCTTATCAGTTCAAAACTTTTTCCCGGACACCCTTTACATCCATAGAATTGTTAAATTCATCTACAATTATATATATATATATATATATATATATATATATATATATATACACACACATATTATAAGTGGACACTAGCGAAAAATATCTAGGAACCATACCTTGTATCACTTAAATAAGACTCAGATTTCCCTGGTGAACTTCTTGGACTCCCTGTTTGGCTAAAATCTTTCTCCAATCCCAGGGCGGAACTCGCGTTCTTCCTAAAATCTCCATCATCATCATCATCTTCTTCTTCAACATCATTAAAGTCACTATCTTCCTCACTAAGAAAATTCCTAATTCCTCTCATTTTCCTCCCTCTTTCCTCTTCAAAATCATTAGCATCATCATCTTCCTCTCGTCCAAGGTTTGATTTTCTTCCCAAACTCTTTCTCCTTCCGTTCCCCATATTTCTTGAGCCCAAACCCGAACCCAAGCCCCTCTCATTTCTCTTTCCTTTCCATGAATCCACATTTTTATTCTCTCTTTTCAAGACCTGGGTTTTTCTACTTGGGTACAATTCCTTCTCCTCCTCGACGTCATCGTTATCTTCGTCTTCTAATTCACTATCAAACAGTTTACTGAACCGGGAATTCCTCGAAAACGAATTGTCCGAGTGGCCCCGAGTTCCCTTCCAGTTCGACTCACTCTCTCTTCTTCTCTTCATGGAACCCCTATTTCTCTCTCTATCTCTACTCCTAATTCTGTTGCGTGCTCTATCCGCATCTAATTCCTCGTCTTCGCTAGTAAGTCGGCCACGGAACGAGTCGGTTCTCAACTCGCCGACCCAGTCGCTGAGTTCGGCCTCGTCCTCGATCAGGCTCTTGGAGGCACGGACATCTCCTCTGTTTTTAGGAGTGAACTCGGAACTTGCCCCTGGCCTAGGTCGAAACGGCCTGGTGGAGAGGTTACGCCCACTGAGTCGTCCATTAAAGCCCGGTGATAAGCCAAAGAACTTGAGTTTAAAAGGGAAAACCCGATTTAGACCATGGATAGACCCGTTAGCCCGAATGGAGGCTGCGGTTTTCATTGAGCGGAAACGGGTGACCGGCAGAGAAGGACTGAGAGGACGAAGCTGTGGCAGAAAGTTGATAAGCATTTTCTTACCCTGAGTTCCGTTCAGCCGGTTGGCAGTTACCAGTGCCGGCATTTCCAAAATGATGGCAAATGGAGCGGCTTTCAAGGGTTTAAAGTTTTGAATGAAAAGATGATAGGGTTTTAGATTTTTATAGCGTTTTCAAAACGCAGAGTCAAACGACGTCGTTTAGTAGTTGTAGAAAGTTTTATGGGCATTTCGGCCCAATACCGAAGGATAGGCTCAAGTTGCAAGAGATTAGAGGATGTTCCTCTCTTAGTTGTTTTGGGTTCAAATTTAATAAATGGTTTTAAAAAAATATATTTTTATAAATTTATTAGATTGAATTTAAATAAATATGCTTGAATCAATTCGAAAAAAAAGTATTAGAAAAAACATAAGATCTTTTTTTTTCTTTTATGTCCACCGTGATTTTCTTTCCAATTGCACATATGATGATAATTGCTTGGTTTCAATCAGCTTGATCAATCATAAGTCAAATTGAATTTGATCAAGTCAGTCCAATTCATTTGATTGGAAAATGATCGATTAAATGAAATGATATATTCATTAGATTTGATCAATTTTTTAAAATTAATAATTAAATCGATCAAATTAATTAATTTTTAATAAATTTTTAAATGTATTATTTATAAATATATATTTTTTAAAGTTCATAATCTATCATTAACTTTTCTATCCAATTATATATTGACCGAATAAGATATTATATATTTAAACTCTTTTAAATTCGTAATTTTTTTTAAATTTATAATCTTTAAGTACAAATTCTAATAACATGCTAATTAATCTAAAGAATAGTAGGATTTTATTTATATTTTTAATAACAATAAATATGAGTAAAAAAAGATAAATATGATATTTTTGGTAAAATTATAAATTAAATTTTACCGATGAAAATTGTTACAAAATTATTACTAAAAATTGGTGGTAAAAAAAATGTAAAAATTTAGTTTTTCAATTGAATCGATATATTGATTTAGAGTTTTTATTAAATAATTTCACAAATTTCACTTAAATAACTTCATTTATATTATGTCATATTTAATTTATCCTTTTAACTTTACATAAAAGAAATATATCACTTTACTCACGATGCTGTGATGTATACCTTAATTCTATTTGTAAATACTATTAAAATGGTTTGCTAGCAACCAACGCTCGTTTGATTTGTTAATAAAGTGTTGGATTTTAGTTTAACGATTAAAAATTAATTTTTGATAATTTTAAATATAAAAAAAAGTTAATTTTAAAAATAATTTTTAAATTATAGTAAAATATTTATAGTGAAATGTTTATGTGACACTTGAATTTTAAAAAAATTTAAAATGATATTTGAACTATAAATCTATTGATTAATATAGTATTCACTTTTAACTTAACTAACTTAAAATGATGATACGCAATAGATAAATAACCATTCAAATGTTACATTAGTTAACATATTCATAATTTAAGTGTAATAACGTATAGATCCCTGAACCTATGGTTAAATCTAACTTAAGGAGTCGCTATCAATATTTTTTATATAGGTGTGATTAATTACCTAACTAAATTTATCCTAATTTAAAAAGATATTCTAACTAAATTTGTCACATTTTAAAAAGATATCTTGAGCTTGATTTTGATATTTTTAAAAAGTATATTTTAGTCTATTAGATCAGATATAGATTCAAGAATACGATTACATATGAGGAATATTATAACACCTTTACAATACTCATTGAAAGATGGTATCTATTTGATTTCATGTTATCTAAGTCTTAAAATATGTTTGTAAATTTACCAAGTAATTTAATTATTAAAAATTAGTCTTAAAGTTACTTTAATCATTTAGTAATAATTTAAGATAATTTTCTCACATAAGAAATATTCACGAAGACTTGTGTCTCACTTTGAAGAGGTTACGTCGTCGGATTCATTAATATATTTTTTCAAGAAATAATTTTTAAAAACAATCTATAAAATCTTTCAATCATTTGATAAAATTTTACACTGATGCATATTCCCTAATCATTTGGTGAAATTTTTATTTGACAAAAATTTTTATGAAATTAAAAAAAAATTATTAAAAATTTTCAATAATTTAATAAGATTTAACTCGAGATTTGAATATTTCAATCGTTTGATAAGATTAAAAAATTATTTTTAAAAAAATTATTAAATTCTCAAATCATTTGGTAATACTTAATTTTATATTTAAATCCTCTAATCATTAGTTAGGATTAAAAACAATATATTTTTTAATTAAATAAAATTCTCTAATAATTTGATAAGATTCACAAACAAAAATATTTTTTTAAATCCACAAAAATTATCTAATAGTTTGATAGGACATCATAAATTAATTTTCTAAAAATTTTATTAAATGATGCATCCTAAGTATACATTGAAAATTTAATTGACACTTATTTTATATAATCCTATTACAAAATTTTCATAAATAAATAAATAAATGTACACAATAGACTAAAAAAATAAAATGAACAAAGTAAAAACAACTGAGGAAGGAAAATACCAAAAAATTGGGTCCACCAATTTGAATCCGTTTAGCTTTGGCAGAACACTTGATTTGATTTAATTCAAAGCTTGAGCCCAGCCAAATTCCAGACTGGATCAGTGGGCTTTAAATCAAATCAAGGGCTTCTGTAGTCAATTTGGGTCCCATATCCATCGGGCAAGTGTATCTCCAACCAATCGGGTCAACCATGCCTCCTTTCTTTAATTAAAATTTTCTTTAATTATAAAAGAGCTTTTATAGGGTTCTGGTTTCATGTTATGAGAGTACTTGATCGAAAAAAATTTTAATTTCACTTCAATTCAAGTTCAGATTTTAATTTCAATCAAAAGCCTTTTAATTTAAAAGAGTTTAATCTTGAACTAATTAGGTTTTATTTGAATTTAAAAATTTTTTTTTAATTAAATAAACTATTAAAAATAAATAAAAAATTCAAAGTCTTATTTTAAAGTATAAATTAATCACAGATTAAATGTGCTGTTTACATTAAGTATTACATTAAAATTTTTTAAAATTTAATTATTAAATTAAATATTTTATTATAATTTAATAATTATTCGTGACATTATACCTATAAAAAGTTTGCTAGCATCACGGACAGGGAGTATCTAGTTAATACTATTGAATACCCAACTGGCCCGGCTCTGCTTTTGAATCTCACATGTGGACATGTTATCCGGATGAATGTTAGGGCAAAAATAATTGCGATGAGCTTTTTTTTTTTTTTTTCTTTTCTTCTTTACTCTGAGTTGATGATTTACCATATATGCAATAACATTGTCAAACCAAAGTTTAGTCTTGGAAACTTTGTAACATCAAGTTACCTAGTTTTGAAAGTCAAGTGATTTTTTTTTAAAAATTATAAATATAATAAAAGTTATAATTATAATAAAATATTACATTTATAAACATAATAAATCATTGAATAATCAACTAATTAATTAAAATTTAAATAGAGAATTAAATTCACACACATTAAAATTTGAACCTAAAACCTCAAGATTTTAGGACATTTTCCTTGTACATAAGTTTAGATTTCGTTGATTGGAGCTGTCTAATTAAAATTGTTAGGTGTTGTGGTAATTTTAACTCCTCTTGACTTTTACTAAATAAATTTAATTAAGTTGATTCATAGAATCAATTAAAAAAATGATATTTAGTAAGTCTGAGTTTTAAATTTCAACATTACAAATTTTTTTATTTTCAAATTAGGGTTTCCCTTGTAAAAAAAAAAAAAAATCCAACGAGTTTGGGTTCAAATTTCTATTCTTGTAATTTTTTCCCTTACTCTTTAGTTACGATTTAAACACTTATATATTTTTTCTTCTATTTTCAAGCTAATATAGTTAACAAAATTAAAATTAAAATTAACATGATACATAATTTAAAAGTTGAGGATACAAATTATACATTTTCTCCAAATTCAAGTATCAAAAAGTGTAATTAACTCTTTCCAAAACTATTGTGTCTTGAGTTTGTATCACAAAATTATCAGTCGGGGATCAATTCCTAATTTGGGCAGGCACTATTTGAATTGTTTAAAGGGATAATGTCACATTTAATCTTTGAACTATTGTAGTTTGTTGGATTTGGTACCTAAACAAAAAAAATTTTTAATTAGGTACTTAAACTATATTTTCATATGTTAATTTGCCCTAACCATTAACACTGTTACCCTAAACATTGACGTAGTATGAATATCCAATAAAATGTTGACATGTATAAAAAAAAATCTAGTCAGCCCCACATAATTAATGTCACATTAGTATTAAAAGAAATTTTTAAAAAAATTTAAAAATTACAAAAAAATTCTATAAAATACAATTTTTTTCAATTCATTTAAAAATGTTTTCTCTAAACAAAACTTCAAACACTTTCAACCCCCAAGAACATCGGTCATTCCCAAACCTAGAAACCAATGGCTCGGCACTATGCTGGCCACCGTCATCGACCATTGATCACCAGTACCAATTTATCCCTAGATTTCACCTGTCGATTCCTTTCAACTTCCTCTTTAATGTTCCTACCTTTGTTTTTTCAAAAACAACCCTTAGATGCCTATATTTGACCTTAAAGATTCAACCAAAATTTTCTTTTCATCGGTTCTTGCTTCTCCAATGGACCCTATCTTTTTACCATATTGTTTGTCTCATCAAAACCCTCATACTCTCCAAAGATCTAACCTAAAAACCATCCCAAATACCTAAACCTGAATCTTAATTTCAGTGTTAAAATTTTTTTGGTTCAACTGCTGTTTTGTAGTTCTTTTTTTGAGGATGTGATTTTTTTTATATACTTTTTTATAGGTCTAGATAGGGTGTTGATAAAGCGGGGTTTGGGCGTTAGGGTAGTATTTGTTAACGTTTTGTTTTGGCTGTGAACATTGTCTCATTGGTTAATGGCTATTTGGGTTATATACGATAGTGGTGAGTATAGGTTTCGATCTTTGAGTTGTTAGGTTGTTTTGATTGTTGAGAAGGGGTATCGGTAGAGGTGGTTTTTCATGGGTGAAGTGAGGTTATGATGATGGATGGTGATGATAAATTGGTTTGTTTGCTATTGATTTCGTGAAGGTACGTGCAACTTTGAATTCACAAGTTTCAATTTTGCTAAAATTTCAAAGAGTTCTTCTAATTTGGGGTGGACGGTGCCATGGGTATTGAATTTAGGTTGTACAATTTAAGGGAGAATTAATTTTTTTTATCGATTCAATTTTTTTTAGAATATATGGCCACATAAGCATGACATGAAAGCAACAAATTAAGTTGACATGTCATTTTGTGTCTAGATGGTGGTTTTTTATTGGTTAAAATAGCCAAATCAACAACTCTTCTAATGAAGTTGTCTCTTAAACCAAATTGATACATGATTTGAGAGTTTAGATACCTATTTAACAACTTTTTTAGTTTAGGAACCAAATCCAACAAACTACAATAGTTAAGGGGCTAAATAGAATATTATCCCTTGTTTAAAAGTGACTTTTCAATTACCAAGTCTTAAAGCATTTAGCCAAAATGTAAAAAGAGAAAATGGTGAAAATGTTCAATAAATCAACATTTTCATATGCTAAGTTCAAAACTCTAGTGCAGCAGTCGCCTAGATTTCTACAATTAACAAGGTCATAGGAAATTTGTCCTAAATTTTAATTGGGATATAGTCTTTTGCATAGTTTAATAATATGATGCCATCATAAAATTAAATATTATAGTATATATTAAGGAAGGCAATTTGACTCGTATCCGACGGATTCCGACCCGACTCGATCTCTTAAGGTCATTTTTTTTTTTTAAATCGAGTATTGGATCAAGTTGAATGATAGAAAGGAAAAATTAAGGTCAGGTTGAGGTCCAATTTTAGGTAAACCCGAACTTACTCGACCCAATATATATATAAAATTATTTTTTAATTAATTATATATATTTATTTAATTTTATATTTATATTAAAAATAATATTTTATTAGTTTCGTGTCGAGTCGGGTTAGATCGGGTCGGGTACGATTTTATATAATGTTTGGTCGAGTTTGAATATTAAAAAAATTAAAAAAATCGAGCCAGATTAGGTTCGGGTATTATATGTATATAGTCTAATCGAGTTTAGGGCGAGTAAAAACTCTCCGACTTGACCCTTTGCCATCCATAGTATTATATACATACATATAATAAAAAGAAATTCAATTCCATAATGTTCCTTTCCACTACAAAATCCATCCAACTTCCTACATGATCCATGAGGATCATTGTTAAGCATCTAACAAGATCTAACAATTTAAAATATGATATGGTGATATGATATAAAACAATATTAAAAAAGACACAAATGTGACATAATTTAAATTTTAACAAAAATCATATATGGGTTTGATAAAACTAAAAAAATGCATTTCATGTTTTTCATATCAATATGAATTGTGATACATAATTTTCATGTAAAAAATAATATAAATACACGAATTGTTATGTTTACATCCAATTTAAAATTAATTGATTATAGGTGAATACTTTATTTTGAATAAACTCAAAATTTAATAAATATTGGACAATATAATTTTAATAGGTTTTCATCATGTGGCATACTCAAAAGAGGTGTAAGATAGGAATGATAGACAATAACAATAGAATCGAATATTAACTCTAATATCATATTAGGCATTTAATTAAACTAATTGTTTATAAATTAAATACTCTAATTTGAATATAAAATTATTAAACCTAAATTTTAACATATAGAAGATAACATTACTTTAACAATCGTAACTATAAATAATCATTAATTTGAAATTTTCTTTTACAATTCCAACTATCCAAACCTTCCAATTTGCAACGAAGATTATATGACTAAACTATTGCTAATTTACACCATTCCCAAAATTTGAAGTCATTGACCTTAGGCTCTTGATTGAACCAATTGTGTGTTGCGTAAGATGATTATTGCCTCCTAATTTAAACTATTCTATAAGTAAGACTTCAAAATTATAATATAATAAAAACATCATTTGTTATAAGTCGTTGTTAAATGAAAATTGCTTCACATGTTAAGTTCTAGAATCAACTGTCTTGGTCAACAAATATTTTAATATTTTTTTATTAATCCAACTTCTACATATTTTGAAACTTGGTAATTCGATTGAGTAAAGTAATAAAATGATTAATATTTAAATATTTTTTTTCTTTTTATGATAATGAACCAAAACTACTCCAAATAAAACTTGAGATTTAATTTGATTAATTTATATAATTATCTTTAAAAGATGATATTGAATAAATAAATTTGATAATTTTAAACATGATATGAAAAAAATAAAAATAATTCAATTTAAAATTTGGATAAATTATATACGGATTTGATAAAAATAAAATAAATATATTTCATATTTAATATATAAACACAATAATTTTCATATATTATAAATACTTGATACAAAATAAATATGCCGAATGAAAATTAATTTCTTCTGCAATTTCTTATTTATCCTCGTAGTGTGACTTTTTGTGAAAAGAACTTCACCTAATAACAATTTCTTAGAGGCTACTCGAAGAGGGCTTGACTCTTCTCTCCCCGTAGACTTTGTCCTTTTGTTTTTTTCTTCGGTATATTTTAGTGTAAAGTTAAAGTTATAAATGATTCTTGAATTATAGTAAAATATTTAATATAATATTTAAATTTTAAAAGTTTTTAGTAAGATATTTAAATAATAAATTTATTAATCAATATAATATTTTTTTAACATAATTAATTTCAAATAATAATGTGTCATACAAATAATTGTTTAAGTATAACATTAATCATTAAATTTATAATTTAAGTATTATATTAATTAAAAATTATTAAAATTTGGATATCATATTAAATATTTTTTTAAAATTTAAATATCATTTATAACATTAATCTTTTAATATATAATATTTCCCCTGTTTTTTAGTTTTTCCTCCCTATATTTCTTTTCTTCTCTCTTTGGAAAAGGAAAAAAAAATGCAGACAATAAGACAATAACTGCCATTAGCCACTCCCTCTCCCCTAAACGAAACTTCTCCTTCGCTTTGATGTCTTGGTGAGACTACAGACAAAACTGGTTGCTGTTCTGTTCTTCCACTGTTCCAGCTTTGGTTGGTATGAAAATCGTTGAAACGGTTAAATAAAGAAGTTTTGATCACTAGAATTATTACCAGACCCTGCTTCGTACATGAAATGAAACTCAATCCTTCTTGAGCCTTCACTTTGTCGAGGTGAGTCATTCATATTGTTTTCTAACAACGACCCTTGTTTCTCTTTTTGGTCAGTTTTGTCGTGAGTTTATGAAAGATTTATGATTTTGGTCTTTGTTGGATTGGATTTTCATCTCCTTTTTCTTTCATCTTTTTTTTTTTTGAAGAAAGAACTTGATGATTTTCATTTCTGCAACTTACATGCAGGCGAAAAAGACTAGAAAATTGTGTGAGGTAAGGGTAAGGTGTAAATGATCAAAACATTAAATGAAAAGTTCGTAAACAGACTCGGTTCTATTCATTTATATTCGTTAATTAAGATTAATAAATGATCATAAATAATATTTCAAATTTTGTTAATTAAACGAATAGATCACGAACATAATAAAATTTGTTAATGTTTATATTGTTTACACCCCCACTAAGGGAGATAGTGATGGTGGCACAAGTTGAAGTTTATGTTTTTTTTTAAATGATTTTCTAGATAAACCAATCCTTAAAATATGGAAAACTTTTGATCATAAGACTTGTAATTTATTAGTATTATTTATCTTCAAAGTTATTAAGTTGGTTTTACTTCTTAATAAGGGCATTGCTAATATGAAGTTTGTTTGTTTTTTTTTTTTTCTTTTTGGCGGGGTCTGGATTTTGAAACAGAGCTAAAACAACTCTTGAAATAGAACTTTTTTGCAATTGAAACTACCACAGAACTTGGCTGAAGTCATGAATTCCCGGCAACAGAAATTTGTGAGGTTAGTCTTTGTTGAATTAATGCCCGAATTGTTCCCATTTTATTGTTTTATTTTCATCTGTCCAACTCTAGATTTATTTGCCCATCTTAAGTATATAATACAATCTTAGCATGAAGTCACGAGTAAATTTACTTGGATTGGAATCTAGAGTTTATTTTAGTTAGTTTATGCAATTACTTTTAAAGGTATTATCTAGTAGGTCTAGAATTCTAATTTCAACACCTGTTATCTATTTTTGTATTCTTAGATAGACTTGATAATTTAAAACAGGTGATACGACATAAACACAATATGAATAAAAGATACGAAGGTAATATAGTTTAAAAGTTTAACAATGATTATATTTGGGTTTAACAAAACAAAAAAAAAAAACATTTCATGTTGTCGTGTTAATATAAATTGTGACATATAATTTTTGTATAAAACATGATATAAATACACAAATTTTAGTATTTTACACGATATGAATGCATGAATTGACAGGTTTATTCTGACATATTTTATATCAAAAAAAAAATTTACGGTTGGTACAAGAATGAAGTAGGCTTATTCAATTGGATTAGTGATTAAAAGAAGGTTTTGCCATTTCTTGGATACTCACTTGATGACTTGTTTTAGAAAGTGGTCTAATCTTATGAAATCTCCTTGGATTGATTTGATTCTACTCAGATTTCAAGATCAGAGTTCAGGTGCTGGATCATTTCCAATGAAGTTTAGACCATCATTGAATCCTGTCATGGACGCTCTAACAAGAGGATTTGAGAAGGGTTCTGAAACACTTAGGAGCTTGAAGAAACCAATAAGCTTCGGTTCTTCGAGTAATAAACCAACAAAAGAAAAAGAATTAGGTTCCAGGAATAGAATTCTTAACCCACAAGGGCAATTTCTTCAGACCTGGAACAAAATGTTTCTTTTCTCCTGTGCAATTGCCTTGGCAGTGGATCCCTTGTTCTTTTATATCCCTGTGATTGATGGCCAAAGAAGCTGCCTTAACTTGGATCACAGATTGGAAATCACTGCTTGCATCCTTCGTACATTCATTGATGCCTTTTATATAGTTCACATGATGTTTCAATTTCGCACTGCTTTCATTGCCCCTCCTTCTCGGGTATTTGGTAGAGGTGTGTTGATTGAGGATGCTAGGGTTATAGCTAAGAGATACTTGTCCAAGTTCTTCATCATTGATATTCTGGCAATTCTTCCACTCCCTCAGGTATTAAGTGAGCTTTCTTTTAGGTGTTCTCAACAATTCTATTAAAACCAAATTAATCGATTAAATCGAATTATTTGATTGGCTATTGAATTAATTTGAGTTGATTATCAAAATAATTAAAAAAATTTTTGGTAATTAGTTAATTCAATTCGATAATCAAATTAGCTCAAATATAACAAAACCTAATCTAAAAATAAAAATACATGAAATGGACCCCTTCATTTTATAAATCATTAGAGTTTTTAACTTAATATTTTGATATTTGAATATTTTGTTAAATGATTTTATTTAATTTATTTCCAAATATTATCAAAAGTTAAGAATTTAAAATATAATTTTAAAATATTTTATTATTCAATTAATCATCGGTCAATTAATTTCGAAAACTAATAAATTTAGTTCGATTAATAAAAATAAAATAAACCAATTTGATTAATTTAATTTTGAATAATTAAATTTTAAATTAACTAAATCGATAAAATAAATACCCTTTTTTTTCATTTAGCTTGAAGTTACACTAACATTCTTAATTAGATCACAACTTGTTCAAACAATATCTTGATTTAAAGCATTCGCTTTCAAACATGAGTTGGTTATGTTGTTTAACACTTATGTTGATTTTGCATAGGTGGTAATCTTAATTATAACTCCAACAATAGAAGGCCCGGTTTCATTGGTGACAAAGGACTTGTTGAAATTCATTATTTTATGCCAATATGTTCCAAGAATCATTCGGATCTTTCCTCTTTACAAAGAAGTTACAAGAACTTCTGGCGTACTTACTGAAACAGCATGGGCTGGAGCTGCTCTGAATCTCTTCCTCTACATGTTGGCCAGCCATGTAAGTTTGATTTGGTATATAGTTTTCGAATTATTTAACATTAGGGTAAAATTCACCATCGATCACTTAATTATGATCATGTTTTAAAAATATAGACAAACTATTAAATTTTTTGATTTAGTCATTAAAGTTTGAGTATATGTTTTTTTGTCACAAAATCATTAATCTCTAATAGCATGCTGACATGACCATGTCAATTGTCAGGTGTCATATGATATTGTTATGTTATTTGATATGGTAGGTGATATTGTTGTTGTGATATTATAAATTTAGAAAAAATAAATTTTGCTAACATGACAATATCACATGACACTTAATAGCTATTAAAATTTTTGATTAAATCATTAAAATTTGAGTAAGTATTTTTTATTATTCAACTATTAGTCTCTAATAACGTGTTGATATAACAATTCAATGTCAGTTTTAGATGTCATGTCATTTGATATGTCATGTGATATTATGATATAATATTATAATTTTTAAAAAAAATTGTTGATGTGGCATGCCACATAACATCTGATAGCTGATGTATTATTATCATGTTAGTACGCCATTAGAGATTAATGGTTAAGTGACCAAAAAAAAAAACCACTTACTTAAATTTTAACAACTAAATTAAAAATTTTTAATAATTTAATAATTATTTTTAAAATACGAGTAAAGTTAAGTGATCAATGGTGTAAGTTACTATTAACATAATTCCGAGAAATTTTCTGATTTTGTGATCTGTAAATAAATATGACAAACCAGGTATTGGGAGCCTTTTGGTACTTGTTCTCCATTGAAAGAGAAGACATGTGCTGGCGCAAAGCTATCGGCAGTGGTGAACACAGTGCGTTGTACTGTGATAAAACCAGTACAGCAGTAAACGCAACATTAGTGAGTCTGCTGAATACTTCATGCCCTTTTACAAAACCTGATCCGAAAGTGTTCAACTTCGGGATATTCAATGATGCACTTGCTTCAGGGGTGGCAGAAAGCCGGGATTTTCCAAAAAAATTCTTTTACTGCTTTTGGTGGGGTTTGCGTAATCTAAGGTAAATAATAACCCTCAAGTTTAATTCATCTTAAGTGATTGATTATTCTTTTTGAATAGTTTGTTTATTTGAACCAAAACTTAACTCTATTGATTCATTTAATCATTTTAAAAAAATAATAACTAATATATAGATATAAATGATACATTAATACTCGTAAGTTATTCATATTCAATTTAGATAAAACTCAAATTCAGTTTGGTTATTGTTAAGTTGAGCTCAAACTCGAATATCTCAACTTATTGAATGAGTTGAATTCGAACATCTTAATATCTAATTTGAGTAGCTTATGAATCTAATAGAACTTTTAAATTTTAATATATTTTTAATATTTTAATTAAAAAATAATTGTTTTACTTATATATATATATATCAATTTCAACTTGAGCTCGAATTAGAATACATAATCGAACTTGAAATTGAATATGAGAATCAAACTCATTTTTATTAAAAAAATATAATTGAGTGAGTTCGAATATCTCGATTTTTATTTTAAATCAATTTTGAACTTGAAAATTAAAATTTGATTGAATTCGAATTGAATTTCGAATAACAAATTTTAAGTTGAGCTCAAAATTTTCACTGTATCAACTTGACTTAACTTAATTACACCTTTAATCCAATAGGGGCTTAAGCTCCCATGAGAGAAAAAAAATTTAAATCATGCATCTTTTAAAAAAGATAAAAGAGTTTTCTGGTCCTTTTAACTCATTTTATAGCTGCTGTCTAAAAATCACTTACTTGAATTAAAAAGTGGTTTGTGCTAACGCTGATAGTATATATTATATACCAATTTCAAGACATAAAGTATTGATGGAAAAAATTACATGATGTCAAGGAGCTTAACAGGTATTCTACATGCAAAATTTTCCAATTCACTTTAACAAAAAATACATATATAAAATTTCATTAGAAGTTAAATTGTTTCAAGATTTTGTTGTTATTACTAACAAATTTTCGTAATTGGGTTCTCATGTATTTCTAGTTTCTTATACATGAAGGCAATATTATATGCTTTGAGCTCAATATTTATGTCAATAGTTTAGTCGTAGAAATGAATGTTTATTGTTGGTTTTTTTTTTTTTTTATATATACTTTAGTATATTTAAACTAAGTCTTTACTAGATAAAATTTCTAATTCTACCTCTCTCAGTAAATATGATATTCAAATATCAACGCTTGTAATTTCTTTTCTTAGTTTAACTTTTTGCCTTTTTGTATTAGAAAAAAATATATGGTTAACTTGTAGATTATTTTCCCTTTTTTTTAGTTCTTTGGGCCAAAATCTCAAAACAAGCACTTTTGTGGCGGAGATAATCTTTGCTATTTCGATTCCCATTCTTGGACTGGTTCTGTTTGCTCAACTTATTGGGAATATGAAGGTATTTCTTAACCCTTCTTCATTGGTATTCATAATTTTTGCTTGGTAGAAAAGATGGAAATGAATGAAGATGAAATTTTTTTAATCTAATGGTTAAACTATAAAGTAAGAAAATAATTGTAAATTTTAATCATTGAATTAAAAAGTTTTTGATCCTTCCTACCGAATAAAGTCTTAATGTTTAAACTCTTTCATAGTTTCTAAACATTACTTGTTATGTTGTCATAGAAATATCTGCAGTCGACAGGAATCAGAATAGAAGAAATGAGAGAGAAAAGACAAGATGAAGAACAATGGATGTCCCATCGAATGCTTCCTGAGAACCTGAGGGAACGTATTAGGCGATATGAACATTACAAATGGCAAGAAACCGAAGGGGTTGAAGAAGAGATGTTGATTTCTAACCTTCCTAAAGATCTCAGGAGGAAAATAAAAAGGCATCTTTGCTTGGATCTTCTTAAGAGGGTGAGTCCTTTCCTAATGGCTTCTATCTTCTTATGAGCATGCTTCCCCACCTAATTAATAAATTGTGTTACATCAAAGCTAGGGGTTTAATTAATATACCCGTGTTCGTAAGCTATTTGGATTTTGAAAAAAATTTTAACTCAATTTGATTATTGTCAAATTGAATTTAAGTTCGAATAACTCAATTTATGAAGCAAGTCGAGTTTAGGCATTATAATACTCAATTTGATTAATTTGTGAATTTAATTGAATTTTAATATATTTTAATTATTTTATTTAAAAAATTATTATTTTATCTTTATATATCAATTCGAGTTCAAACTTAAATTTGAATTTTTGGAGTCAAGCATGGGAATCGAGCTTGTTTTTATTTAATAAATAAGCATAATCAAACAAACTCAAATAACTCAATTTTTATATTAAATCGAGCTCGAATTTGAAAATTAAAATGCAATCAAATTTAAATCGAGTTTCAAATAACAAGTTTCAAGTCAAGCTTAAGCTTCTTGACTCAGTTACACCCCTTCTACCTAAAATCTATTCTCTTATTTCCGAACTATAGCCTCTTTTATTAAAAAAAAAAAATTGAGTTACGTTTAAGATTAACCTATATATATATTTTTCCTTTAGGTGCCAATGTTTGAAAAAATGGATGAGCAACTATTAGATGCAATGTGTGATCGTCTAGAGCCGGCGCTTTACACTGACAAGAGCTACATTGTCCGAGAGGGGGATCCAGTAGAGAAAATGTTATTTATCATACGAGGAAATCTAATAAGCACGACCACCAATGGTGGAAGAACTGGTTTCTTCAATGCTGTTTATCTCAAGGCTGGTGACTTTTGTGGAGATGATCTTCTTACTTGGGCATTGGATCCCCTTTCCTCTTCCAACCTACCTCTCTCAACTAGAACTGTCCAGGCCCTCAAAGAAGTTGAAGCCTTTGCTTTAATGGCTGATGACTTGAAGTTTGTGGCCTCCCAGTTTCGTCGTCTTCACAGCAAGCAGTTCCAGCACACTTTCAAGTCAGTCTAAGAACAACATTTCACTTTCTTTCAATTTTTTTTCCATGGTTGCCAAATCAAATACTTATATCAACCGGTAACAGATCCAAAATTTTTTCTCGAGGTCTTCGTTTATAATATATATAAAAAAATCAACAGATTTACTAATTTTTTTCAAAATTTTTTTGTCTTTCAGTTTTTGATATGCTATTTGGATCCGACCCTGATATCAACTGCTTTGTTTTCAGGTTCTACTCGGTGCAATGGCAGACATGGGCAGCATTTTTTATACAAGCAGCTTGGCGCCGGTGCTGCAGGAGGAAGCTTGTTAAATCTCTACGTGAAGCAGAGGATAAGCTGCAAGATGCTTTGGCAAAAGAGTCTGGAGCCACTCTTTATGCATCAAAATTTGCTGCCAATGGTTCACAAAGCGCCAGATTGACTCGCAGGTTACCATCGCTTCTTCCTCAAAAGCCAGCCGAGCCTGATTTTACTGCTGAAAGATAGGTAATTTTGATCTTAAATTCGAGCAAATTTGGAAGAATTCTTGTTTATAATGTATTAAGCTAAACATATGTATGTATAGTTTTTCTTCATTCCGAATTTTTCCATTGGAAATTAAAGTTATTGTAGGATTTTCTCTACGAAATGTACATAGTATAAGCTTTACTCAAAGAACCTAGCGCGGTGTCGAAACAGAAGAATACAATCACAAATCTAGATACTAATACGAGATTTTCTATAAGATTTTCGTCAGTTTTTGAGACAGAATTGCATGATTCGAGTTAAATGTAATGCATGCACGCTTTCTTCACTCGTAGGTGAGACATGATCGGGTTCTTAAAATTTATCTAAATTACTCTTTTTTTGTGAATCTCATGGACTTCGTTTTATGACCAAGACAAATGTAAATACTAAATACTTTTGCCACTTGAAAGTTAAAAATAACTTCATTTTATTTAGTATAATAATCAAGTATGAGGTTAATTCCTCTTTTTTTATTTGAAAAATTCTACGAAAAAGAGTAAAGAAAGATGATCATAATTGTCTAATAGTCCATGATTAGGATTTGTTATTTATTAAGTACAATGTAATTGCACTAATTAAGTATTTGTTTAGATGGCATGCTTGTCGATCAGATTTCTGAAGGTTGAGCATAATGTCCTCCAACTCTTGCTTACCTGTGAGGAAAACCCGAATCAATGTGACATTGTAAGTTTTAACACTGAAATAAGATTCATAAATGAAAAATTCAAGGCAAAGGAAGAGATTGATACTTGGAACAATCTGTGTTGCTAGTAATTGGAGGAAGATAAAAATCAACACCACATTTCTGGGGAATTAGAGCGACTCGAGAGGGGTCATATGGGCCAATAGTTGTCAATAATCCTTTAAGGCACTCGCATACAGCTTGTTGATCGCTTTTGCTCTTTGCTTGGCTAGCAACATCTTTAACACCAGCACAACATGCCGCCGATGGACTGTCGCCGGTATTTTTGCCTTTCACGAAGTCGACGCACGGGACTGCTGCTTTGCCAGCGTCATTGCACGAAGGTGCAGCTGGAATTTCTGCAACAGCCATGGCTGATTCCGTAATTAATAAAACCAACATGGCTAGAAAATTGATTGAGCGAGACATGGTGGTGGCTAATGAGTTTATTCCCTGATGTTATTGTCGTTTTCTTTGAATGATGAGGATGTAAAGCATATGCATATATATACATCTATATATATATATATATAGTGAAAGATTCGTAAGGAGTTATCACTTATAATATGTGTAAAACTGTAACAAATTTATTAATTTTGTCGACAAAAAATATGTTTGAAAGAAATTTTTCTTCAAATTATATATATATATATATAAATATATTTGTTTGGGAAAGTTTTTGAGGTTGTTGCAATGCAAGTCTCGTGACATTGGAGCTGTGGCTGTTCCTTCGCCTGTTAGAATGAGAAGAGAGAATTCATGTTGGAAGTTACGTGCATAGGCCAGGCACTTAACTGCCATTGCCACAGCATCGAGTTCATGTCTAAGCTTGAAATGCTTTTGTTTTCCCCATGACCAAATGAACTGATTAATTAGGTGTTAAACTTAATGTTAATCTAAAAAAATTATTGGGGAAAATAAAAATGATTTTAAATTAGATGCTTAACATGTTATCAAAGTCGGGATTTCCTTCCGTTGCCCTTTCTTAATTTGTCACGTGAAAAAGCTTATTTCATCTTTATTTACACGTGATAAAATAATGGATTATCTCGCATTTAATAAATTTTCAATATCTTATAATTTTATATTCAAATTAAACTTTGTTATTTGCTGTTAATTGATCGTAAGTTAAATAGTTAACAAATATCTTGTACTCATAAAATTGTATTTTCTTTATTATCGTATTGTCTGATCCTAACAAATTTTTTTAATGAGCTACAAATTCCTAATAAATTTCTTTAATGAATTACAAATGAAATTTGATTTTTGAATTTATTAAATGTCATATTTTAAAGATAATTGTAATTATATAAATCAATTGAATTAAATTTTACGTTTAACACAAAAAACAACTTTAAGGTTAAATCGCTAATGTAATTTCATACTCGGATCAATGAATAAGCTGCAAGGACTAATTTTTTGGCTTCGATATTGTCCCCTCTCCCCTTTTGATTGGAAAATGCAAGATCAGTTGAGTTGAACACATAAAAAACATGGGAAATTTTTAATTCAGACTGTACATTGAATTGCTGAAAAATATTTAATATTTCAAACGTGTTCTATCATACAACGTAAATAATGCTGCTGCAACCACATGAAACAAAACGGTTTATTTCAATATTTACATAATGGTATGTTATATGTACTTCTCCGTTATGGATTTGACGGTTTTCGAACTACGAATTTGGGATCACGAGCATGGCTTACATATAAAGATTCTGCAGCTGGAACTTCAGTAAGCTGAAGAAACCATGGCAGACAGAGGCTGGAAATTGGTGCTCCTATTAAACCAATAGAGAGCCCATTTCAGATTGCAAAGAGTATATTTCAGAGCTTTGGTCCAATTCTCTTGTTTATTGAAGCTTTGTGTGATGGAGTAGTTTTCCACTTTGTCATTCTCAACCCTGTAAGATGTCATGACTACTGAGGATGAACCGTGAAGGGAAATATGTTCATTCACACAATAGACTCGGAGTTTTGATCAATTCTATCTATTTAAAACCACCAAACTAGGATTGAGAATCATATACGCAAAAGACTAAAAGGTGAGGGGAAATATGTTCCATATCACATTGCTTGGGCCTGGGAAGATAATGGCTTAAGGCCTTGTTTCTTATATTTCTTTTTCAATGAATTTAAATAACGATTTTTTTATATTAGGAAATAATAAAATTCGAATCTAATATCTAATGCTTATATTAGAGTTGATAACGAATAAACTGATTAAGTTGTTTTTATCAATGCATGTTATTTCAGATTTTCAAAAATCAACTCAAATCCTAAATGAATTTTTTTTTTAAATCGAATCAATTCGAATTTAATTAAAACATTTAATCTCTAAATCAAAATTAAATTTAATAAAAAAAAACCAAACCAAAAGAAAGACCAAAACGTTTAAAAGTAAACCAGAAAAGATGTAAACGTAAGCAATAAAAAGAAAAATATAAAAATTAAGAAAGTAAATAAAATTTTCTTTTATAAAGTGAGTGACATAAAAATATTCAAAGCTATAACTTATCATGATTTTTTTTTATTAATTGTTTTTCCTCCACATAAATAACAATTTTAGCACATCTCAATTTACAAATATTTTATGTGAGATTTATCTTGGCTGCAAGATAAACCTCAACATGGACCAAAAATTTGCAAAATTTATATATGCAAATGGGTTTAATAAATCAAAAGTTTACAAAAAATTTTATCAGAACACAGTTTATATGAAGAAAAAAATTCAAACATCACCTAGGTAACCTCATCAGGTTGCAATCATCTATCTAGTTTTATAAGATTATAGTATACCTCTAATTTACTTGTTCCAGCAATTATCCAGCAATTATGAATTGCTTTTGTAAAAATGTTATTACATTCTATTTGTCTTCAGCCAACAACAATAAATATACAAAAGGGCTAATGCCGTAAATAGCCTTTAAACTATAATAAAATATTTAATATAATATCTGAATTTTAAAAATCTCTAATATAATATTTAAATTAATAATATGTTAACTAATATATTATTTATACCAAATATGATTGACACTAAATGATGACATTTGACACAAAAAAATCTCTAAATATCATAGTAATTAACATATTTATTATTCAAATACCATATTAAAAATTTTTAAAATTTGAATACCATATTAAATTTCACTATAATTCAATAATCATTCATGATACTACCCTATACAAAACAAAAACCAACAGATATTTGGTGCAAAAACGTTAAAAACTATAAGAAAATAATTTTTCGTTAATTAACTAGTCCTTAAGTAAATTTACCTGCTTGACCCTTAGAAAAGATACACAAAATGGCATAGGGCTCGCGCTGCAAGATATAAGATGGAATGAGGTGCCAATGCAACAAAATTATAAATACTATAAAAGCCACCAGGTAAAGAGCTGATAAGTTTAAATATTATTGAAAAAGAATTACAAAAAAAAAAAATGTGGTTGATGGGGGAAAAAAAAAGGAAAGAATTACAAGCTCACCGATGACAAAAACTGTGAGATTCCTCATTTGTTTCAGTTCTGATTTTATCAAATACTATCTAGAAGGGGAGAGGTTCCCCATCAGTAAGGAGCTCTTTGATGCTTCTTCCAGGAATAAATGGGACTATAGACCTTAATTCATATATTTTCTACAGTTGGGAGCCTTACACAGGCAAGGAACTTTAAGTTCATCGCGTTCGTCGGGATCAAACAAATAATCATACCTGTCCCAAAAATCATATATATGTGATATTATATCATCCCCTATGTGATATTATATGAGTGAGAAAAGAGGGATCCGCAAATCTTACGTTAGCTCATCGCCTGCAGACACATTGGTCTTAGCAATAAGGACTATCCGACTCTCCTCATCACCAACGCTCATGATCCTCGCATAGCAATTAGGCATGCACTGCAAAAGGGACGATGCTTCAGCATACAAAGAGAATTTACAATGCTACAAGCTGGTAATTTAAAACATGATATGACATGACACAAAAACGATATGAATAAAAATACGAAAACAACACGAATTAAAATTTTAGTAAAAACCATATATAAGTTTAACCAAAAAAAAAAGTATTTTATGTTTTTTGTGTTGACTGAAATTGTGATACACAATTTCATGTAAAACACAACATGAATTACTAATATTTTACACGACATAAATACATGAATTATCAATTCTATACAAAAGTAACACTAACACTACTTAAGTAATCATAGGTACATCCTCTTTTGTTTTTCTTTTTTTTTGGGGGAGTGGGGGGAGAGAGAATGGTGGGAGGGAGCATAAATCCAATTATAAGGCCATACCGAATGGTTGATTAAGCGAGCAATATTCCCCTTGTTGGTGGCATCAATCACTACTTCCTCACTGATTTTGAACAGCTGCATTACATGTAGAATAATCAATAAGAATCAGTGTTTTATACAAAATAAGCAGGCCACAATGGCAGCAATGACAATAAAAATTAGACGTATCCAAAAATCAAGGGTTTTTTTTATTTTTATTTTTTATACTTGAAACTATCAAGATTTGAACCCTAATCACTGAAACTAAGAGTACAACACTCTACTAACAGACCAAGTGGCTTTTGCCAAAAGCAAGAGTGTTTTAAGCATGATTAATTACAGACAATCAAAGAGGATCTAAGACTCCAGAATGTGTCAAGATAGTACAACAAATGGAGTACCTTCAGCCATTTTATAAATGCTTTAACATATACATGATCACAAAGATGATAGGGACATTTATCTTAACCTACATTCAGTTCAATATCTGATGGTTGGCTGAAACCATTGGCATGGAATCCTTTTCTGGAATTCCAGCAATTTATCCAATCTACAGTAAACATATCAAGAAGGCATTCAAAAAGTCTAGGAACCCTTTGCAAATTAAATTAACTGATAAGACAAACTATTTGGTCAAGTGGGTACTTCAGAATTATCAAACCTTGAAATTTCATGAAACCAAGAAAATATTGACATTGGCTTATCAATTCAATACTGTAAGTAATATTTGTATTATAAGCCAGTGCAAAATCATGTGCAGAACCATAGCACTTCATGATGATTCATTGGTATGTGAATTTTACGTCTATAAACGAAAAATCTAGACCACAAAGATAGTCAAATCTTAACTGTTTGAATACCAAATGCAGCACATAAATAAATTAAACAGAGTGATTAGAAGAAACTTACATAGCAATCTTTTCCTTCAGAACGATACCGAGCCTCCCTAAGATCTGCAACACTGCGCCTAACCTGCTCACCACGATACTCAACAACCTGAACATAGACATGATGATTATCAACACACTAAACATCAAAAAGGTTCTCTTGATGAAATGCAACTTCAAACCCAATCTAGGTAGCAGTTTTAAGAAATGGATAGAAATAGAGATAGCAGTCAATAAAGTACCATTTCTCCTTCCTGAATGTTCCTACGTGCAAAGAGGCCCCATCCGTGAATACCAGATTTACCAAAACAAACTCGGTGATTCTCCGTTCTCTAAAGGCACATATGTAGATTGAATTAGAAAACTATATCAAACAAAGAAATAACCATGGAACATAATCAAGAATTATAGCTTACCTGCAAATGGTATAGTCGATCCTTGAATGACGAGAATATGGTAGAATCATCTACTTCCTGTTACAAGACAATGGAATTATAATGATGGTAATCTCATTGACCAATCCAGAAGGACCAAGAAGGAAAAAATAAATGAGGTCTGTTCCAAATGAAAAACTTTATGTTCAAAAGATAGGAGATCTAGAACAAAGAAAAGAATAGCACCTTATATGTGCTCAATGCACTAACTGCATCTATATGATGATGACTTGGCCCACTCAGCCGGTGGAATATAGGCTCCCCTTCAGCCCTCTGGCAAATACGAATAGTATACATAAGACAATAATGATACCAATAATTGCATCATGTTAGCAAGAGTTCACGTTTCACCCCCATAATTACTTATTTGTTGGGACAATAATCCATGGGAAGGATTAATTTGAGGATGAGGAATTATCACACTGACTCGCTTTCTTCCTTCCCCTTCTTAGTTCAAGAGAAACCTTTTTTATTGTTTAAAGGAGTGTTGCAACAAATGAGGTATTTTGCCATTGACATGAAACCCACCTCCTAATTATACTAAGTACCATTATTATTGGGAATTTTCAATTGAAAAAAAATACAGGTCTAGCAAACAGCTTTAGCTTCTACAAAAAAGCATACTTAATTGAAAAAATAATCACATAAAATCAATGGACTTCAACCTTCATGAAGAAAGAAATAAAAAGGTTTCAGGAAGTACAAGAATAATAATCAGAGAAAATTGGAAAGTATTAACAGATTATAAAAAGTTAAATGACAGCACGTCACAAGATTCTTGGACATCTACCTTAAAATGTGACCTTCTAAAAACACGGCATCTCACAGCAGAGTATGCATCAAACTCATTGGTCTCTGGAGCTGGGGATTCAGGGGTCTCTGCATTCTTGGATGAAATTAACCTTGAACCTCTAAGACATTCATTCTCATTCTTAAGAACATTTCTGGCAGCAAAAACCCCTGAAGGAGTATGCATGACAACAACTGCATCGGGACTTGGGCTCCTGCACCAAAGACCAAAGTATGAGGATCCAATCCAAACAATAACAATGATGCATACAGGAGCAGGTCCAAAATTATCAGCTTCCCTTTGTTCAGAAAATGAAAAATAAGAAAGGACATAAACCAAACCTGTGAACAGCACAGTAAACTAACTTTTTTGTCATTTGTATCCCATTCTTCTCTGAGCAGTGTAGCTGTAAATTTAATTCATAAAATAGACATAAATATGAGTTCACAATAAAACATGTTCTATAAAAGTACAAGCACTTAAAGTCAGTCATATGCATTCCAGCAGCCATTTGAGTTCATACAAGACTCTTCAACTTAGAAACCAGGGATGAACATTTGTCTTTAAGCAAAACATAAAAACACTTACTTCCATGCTATATCCTGCTTTTGATGCACACATCACATGAAAATAAGTTGTGCACTTGCAACACTGAGTGCAGGAACCATGAGTTTGCTTACAAATCACGCAACTCTGTCATCCACACAATTAAAGCACACTTAGATGGAAAAACTGAAATGTTGTGATGCAATCATAAAAATATGAAAATGCAATGCAGTCCTTAAGCTAACCAACAAAAGATCTTAAACTGAATTCTCAAAAGATATAATAGTTTAGAAGGATCATTTAATTCAAAAAGGCACCTTCAAAAATGAACTTGATGGAATTCTAAGGATTCCAACAGCAGGTTCCATCTTCTCATGATTTGAGAAACCAACTTCCGGCCGAAACCAGGCACATGTGACATGAACCCAAAGTGACTCAACATCGGTTGGCTTCAGAGCACCCCCTGGAGAAGCAGATTTTACATATTATAAGAACAAACAGTTGAAAGAAACAGTCAAACTCCACAAAAAGCCCTTTCATTTACAAGTGACTAATATAAATCCCAAAAATGACTTTCAAGGCAAGAAGTGATATATGAGTTAACAACTGAAGTGCCACTCACATGTCATTGCAACTAAGTAAATATGTCCCAAAATTATTTTGCTAAGCAGATAATCCTTCCCCCCCCCCCTCCCCTTTTCTTTCCCCTATAGCTTACATTAGTGCTTTCAGAAAAGATCTTTATAATGTACATATATGAGAATAAAAAAGAAGTGTAAAATCCAGTTTTAGATGACATGCCTTTCACAGGGCAAAGGCAACATTCCCTCTCGATATCAGGTGCTTCACAAGCTCTACAAACCCAAGAAGTCAAATCTTGAACATTGCTTGCCCCATAGCATTCTTGGTGAACAGCTATTTGACACCTGAAAAAGGAAAATTTTCTTTCCAATAAATCAGGCAATTATAAAATGGTACACAAGTCAACATAAAGAAGTGATGCGTGATTAAAATACCTGTTGCATATAATAATTTTGTTATAATCCCAGTCTTCAACCCATCTACATATGGCACATCTTTCAGTTGTCCATTTTGCATCAACAGACTCATATTTTTCTATGACAATGAAAGTAATAGTCAATTAAGTTTCAAGCTTTTAAAAATTGACTAACTTCTTCAACTCCAAACGGTAAGAGGGGATAAAAGAACTCCAAGAAATAAAGTTCTTTAGAAAAGGTATTTTACCTTGCAAAAAACCAATTAGCTTCCGCTTATCTAGCTTCAGAGTATCAACACCAAAGGCATTATATTCAACAATCTGCACACAAGAACCATACATGTATAATGCATGTGAGCTTAGATTATAACAAACAAGAAAAAAATGGGGTTATTTTGATGCTTTTGGGAGGTTGGGGATGGAGGCCATTGAGCTTTAACAATCAGAAAGCAGCAACAATTTAGTATCTTCACATCAATTACAGAGGATGCGCAAAAAAGTTAGCATTCACAAACATTACCTGAAACAATTATAAGCTTAACTTACATGTAAGGACTACAAAATTACAAGCCAATACTATTATGGCCAAGCCAGATATGTACTGGTCAAAAGGGAGAAGAAAAATAGTATGTAGGATTCAAGAAGATTAAAGAAAATCCATGAACAGTAACCATTCAGCAGGAAAAGGTGGAAGCAAAATAAAAAAAATTAAAAAGAAAGAAAGCTTGTTTCTTTGTGGGCAAAATCAAAGAGTTTATTCTTCTCCTAATGAACCTAGAAAATACCCAAAAGAAGGTTTTAAAGCAACTTAAACTATAAATAACTCATGTAAAAGAACAAAGCCATGCTTCCAAAATCACAAAAACCAGAACTTACCCATTTTTCCAGAGGTATCATTGTGTCTTTGACTTTCACACTGTACTTCCATTTTTTAGCTCTACAGCCTGTATGCCGCTCCCATTCACTGAGTGTATACTTCTTTGACCCACACACACCACACTCACATACAACTCTAGAACATGAAGGAAATTTTTATATAAGAACCAATTATAGTAGATAGAAGTAGAATAGATAACAACCTACTTTAACCGATTCCAAATATTTTAAACCTTTCCAGGACTTACAAGTGAAGTTTTGGAATATATGATCCTTCCATGCCATTGCAGACTACAGTCAGCTTGTCAGGAGGAACACCTTCCCCCCTTTTTTCTGTAGATCTGTTTCAGTGTTTCATCACGTTATTAGGTCTAACGCATTACAAATGAACCAGAGGATTCCCGTAAGACAAATATGTAAATTCAAATTGGGAACTGTCAAGAGGATGAACATAAATTGTTACCAACATACTTGATTTTTGGCTCTCTTTTCGGTAAGTATGATTCAAATTTGAGATTTGCTTTACATTCGGGGCAGTAATAATCAGTATGCTCCAGATCCTTCAAACATTGACCAAGTCAGTACTACTGACTTAGGTACAAGATAACATATGAGGGAAACATAAACATAAAAATAGGCAAGTTGGAAATGATAGTGCTACCTTGAAAAGTTTACTGCTAATGTTGTCGCATTCAGCATGTACCCACACATTACAACCATCACAACAGACCTAATTCACAGGGTTAAAGCAACAATCTTAAAATATGCAACTATTTTATCAAAGAAAATACTCAAAATGTTTAGAAACTCTAAACTGCATATATCTTACCCAATTGCCACCATCTGAATGGTGCCAAATCTTCTTGCATATGCCACAATACTGCTTTGATTTCCGCAGCTGTAATGATACATGAACACCATTTTAAGAAACTAAAATTTAACTGATGTTCAAATTGAAAGTCACATAGATCCTTGAAAGGAAGAATCTTGTATTGACCTTAGCACAATGTTTGCACAAAAGCTCAGCTTCATACGTAGATATCTTCATTTTCTTCATAGTTTTTAAAGGGACAACTGAGCCGCAGCTGTCACAAGGTCTTGCACCCTGCACAAATCAACAGGGCATCCTTACAACTGAACTACTTTGCAAGCCCTATAAGCCCAAAAAAAAAAAAAAGAGGGGGGGGGGGGGGGAGGAGAAACCAGAGAACCTAAACCAAATTTTACATGAAGAAGAAAGAAATATCCAACTGAGCCGGCCCATAGTAGAACTACATTGCATTCTATGTCCCTTAGATCACCGAAATTACAGATGCCTCACAAACAATTAATGTCACAAAGCTCAAAGTAAAAAATACAACAAAAAAATGGTTCTTAATAAACTTACCTGGTTTTGAGAGTGTAAATAATCCAAATCCTGACTTGAGCCACTGGGTTGAGCATCTGGGTATCCTATTTGCTGGGTCTTATGGTCAGAGTCTAGATAACCATTTTCTGCTAAAACCGCCTCCTCCATTGCCATCTGAAAATCACTTTGTTTCCACTTGTAAAATTGGGTTTGCCCCTGGTATCTGAACAAGGAAAATTTCAAGAACATTACCCCTTGTTTCCAACACATTATCGTAAAGTCAGCCAAGAATGACCATCTACAAAGAAAACACCTGTCCATGAATTCTGCAAATGGGAATATCATTCCTTGTTTCACCCACGCATAATCCTGCTAGAAATTGCAAATATATGAGTATGTCAGCCATAAACTAAACAACAAAAGCAAGTAAAGAGATAAGATTACCCTCTGCGTTCCGTTTTTTGAGTACCCAAAAAACATAACGCAAATAGCACCAGGAACACAACAACTTAAGACTGCTTCAGGAGCTTGCAATATAGGATCAATCACAATAGCTGGCCAGGCTGGGTATCTCTTCCCACATTTAGCCCAAACTATATCACCCAAAGCAAAATCCTCAGGCTTATACACATCTTTCCTCTTTCCAGCTCTCTCTTTTCTCAACCTCTCTAAACCCTTATAACTATTATACCTAGGCACAAACTCATCTGTTTCAGGCAATGTCAAAGAAGAATTCAAATAATTTCTGTAATCAAGGCTACCATTAATCCCTGCATAACCCACTCCTATTTCCTCTCTTCGTTTACTAATTAGATACAAATCCGAGCTTCCATATCCAAACTTATCTTTCATATATCCCGACCGATCAAATTCAAATCTTGCGCTATCAAATTCATCATCCTCCAAGCTTGAATCAGCATAATCAACCCTCGATTCTCCGTTTTTCCAAGAATCAAGAACGGCGTCGTTGAATCTGGAAGGAAGCATTTGAGTTCTTCCTCTAGATGATTTCAACAACGGTGGCTTATAACTCTTCTTGGAACTCTTCTTAGATTGTTTTGCTTTGTTTGCTTTATTCAAATTCATTGAATTCGACTCGAATTCACCGGCCCAGTACGACCCCTCGCTGCTCCAATAACCTGAGCCGCTGCTGAAATCTTCGAACTCGCTGTAGGAATAATAACCATTCGATTTTAATCGCTTGGGATTCGCGTCATAATCGTAATATATTTCTTCGTCTTCGTAGTCGTCGTAGCTCGATTCTTCGATCTTGCAGCGTTTCATGCTCGGCATTTCAAGTTTCCCCGTCCGTTTGATTATCATCTTCCCTATCAAAACCCTAATTTAACATCGAAAGAAAGCACCCAATAGATTTAACGCAATCAGTTGACACAAATTCAAGTCGGTGATTGTGCAATTGACATCCACGCGCACCAGATTCCCCAATTAAAACCCTTAAAAACTCCCGATCGATGTAATGAAACAAGAAGGGAGCTACAAAATTCGCACGTCTCTTCCGCTTTGTGTGTCTTCCAAGTTCCAACAAAAAACTGAACGAGAATCCGAATTTCAGGATTTAAATTTTAGCCAAAGAGATTGAAAAAAAATCGAAGATTAGAAAATTAAAAAAAAAAAAATGGAGATGGGTAATTAGAGTTGCTGTGAAATTGTTATAGACAAGGAAAGGAAGGGATCTTGATAGTTAATATTATTATTATTATTATTTTGTTCTATTGGTTTTTTTAATTCGATTAATCTATAATATTTAAAAATTTTTTTGAAATCCAATTAATTTAAATTGAATTCTACCATTTAATTTAGTTAGGTTAATTGATTTTTAAAAATTAAATTTTTTTTAATTTTTAATTATCTATTATTTTATATTATTTTAAATATATTAAAATAAAAAATATTATTTTTATTTTATAAAAAATAAAACTTATATAAAAATTAATAAAAAATATTATCTTGTTTTACATCGTCATAATTCATAAAAAAAGATTTGCTTGGAAACTAAAATTTTTATATTTTTAAAAAACTTTTAATCATTAAATTAAATCAAAGAATTAAAGACATAAAAATATAATTTAATTTAAATATTTTTTATTTTATAATATAAAAACCAATTTAAAATAAATTAAAATATTAAAAGAAAATTTGATTCCAGTTGAATTGATCATCGTAATTTTAAATTAATATTTTTATTTTTAGATTTTTTTCTTCAGTCATAAATGCAATTAGTGTTGTAAATGGTAATATAATATGGGTTTAATTAGAGTTTAAGGAATTAAAGGATTTTAAAAAGATGGGCCGGTGGCGCAGATGGCGCAGTGTTTTGGCTCCAAATATTGGAAAGACGGAGGGAAAATTAGAGAGTAGGAAATTTTGGGTTCGTGCGAAGCGCGAAAATGAAAATTGAAAGCTGTGGGAAGTGGGATGCGCCGGCCCCTTTGGCTAAAATGGCTCGGGGCTTGGGATGTTTTTGAGGCTTACATTTATTAAGTACAGGTGGATCTTCATTGTTGTCAAACAATTTAAAGGAGGTCACGTAGGTATTTACGTTAATTTTAAATAGAGTATTTTGATATAATATAAAATAATATAAATAATACAATTTAATTTTTTTAAAAAATATATATATTAAATAAAATTAAAAATTTTATTTTATATTTGACATATCAAACATAAGATATAATATTATAATTTTTATATTTTAAATATATTTAATAAAAAATACACATAACATAAATTATTAAATTATTAAATTAGTCACGATGAAATTGTGGGTTAAATTCAAACTCTAAGAATGTGGTTAAAAAAATTTACATTTCAAATTGTGATGGAATACTAAATACAATGATGATGATTCAAATTCTTAAATACAAAAAAAAAAAAAGAAAAAAAAATCCTCATTGATGTTGTGCAGAGAAATGCATGAGCAATTCTCATTAGTGTTGATTTTGATACGTAGCTAGCAAAGCTTCCCTTTTTGGCTGGAGGCACGGGTGCTTGCCCTAGTTTTGACTTAGTAACAGTTTTGTAACAGAGTGATATAATGATGAACATCATGTAATACTCTAACGTTAGATTTAATGATTTATATATTTGTATGATATAAAATATTAAAATTTATATATATATCATATTTTATATGAAAATTATATATTATAATATGTGTTAGTACAAAACATAAAATATATATTTTTTATTTTATGAAATTTATATATAATTATTATTAAAATTTTAAATCATATTTTTTTATATATTTTTTTATTTCATATCATATTACTGTGTCGTATTTTAAATTATTAAATATATCCAATGCTATGAAAACTAAATTTTTTTTGACAGAAACAACATCAAGAAGCTAAAATCAAAATTATTCTAGATACAAATGCATCTTCATTTTGCGAGTAGGGTTACAGTTGCACTTTGAGAATTTTGTGAGTCTTAGTTTTGTCCTTGGAAAATTAAAATTGGAATGGTTCAACTTGGCAAACAAATATGAAGTTATTTCATTCACTTTTCGTGCAAAGAGAATTTACACATAAAATAGATTTAATAATTTTCAATATGATAATAATATGAAAATGATATGAGTTAAAAATTTAAAAAATATATCTTATATTTAAATGTGTTGACATGAACTATCACATGATAATTTTTAAGTGTTTGATACAAACAAACATGATATAAATACATAAATTATCATATTTACATGAAATGAATTATATAAAAAGTTCAGGTTAGGAGTTAAATTCAAGCCTGGTCCCAGTTTGACATGGCTTGACATCTTCAAGGCTAAATAGAAGATACAAAACACATGATTAGCCATTGCCAACCCCTCAGCTCCATCGAAGTACTGAGAATATTTGAACTTGAGCTACTAAATTGGATTCATTTGGAAGGTTGGAGACAGACTAGACTTGTCTCTTCTTCTCATACACGATAATCCTTCTAAAACAATAACTGCAACTAGAGTTATAGCAAGGAGAAACCCATAGCCAATCTTGCATTCATTCCCTGCATTTGCTATTTCAATTCCCAATATTATATTCAAAGCTCCAAAAAACAATGCGATTCTTCCAAACCAATGGTGGTACCAGTTCCAGTATCGTCGGTACTTTGAATCTTTGTCTGGCCGTAGAAAAAATGCCATTATCTGATATCACATTATTTGTCAGATTTCATTAGCAATTCAAGCTGTATAAAGTAGTATCAAATACGATAATCATGTAGCTTACAAAATTTTAAATATGACACGAAAATATTAGAGGATGAAAAAAAATCAAGAAAATTTTTTTGAAATCGTAATATTTGGTTCGGTTTGGATTGATTTTTTTTATTTGGTTCAAGTTAAATTCATATATTAAATATATATTAAGTTTGGATTGAATTTTTTATTAGCAAGTGAAAAAAAAAATCGAACTAAATTATATATTTTTATTAGCTTTTATATATTTTTAATTTTTTATAAAATAAAAATAATTATTTTATACCTAAATCTATTTAAATATATAAAAAAAATTATATTAAAATAATATATAAAAACATATAAGTTAAAAAACTGAAGAACTGGACCAAACAAAAAAGATAAAATTTAGTTTGGATCGGATTATATAAAAATTCGGTTTAGATTCAGATCAAATTTTAAAAATTCATAATTTTATACATTATTCGAAAAAACCGAATTGAATCCGATCAAATCCAAACCATTGTCACCTCTAGGTGACACAATATGAAAAAAAAAAAAAAAAAACAAAAATGTGAATGATTTAAAATTTTAATAAAAACAAAAAATGTATTTTCTATTTTAATGTATTGATACAAATTATAAACAAAGTAATTTTCGTATTTATATGTATTAGATAGGAAACATGTTTAAACATGGGTAAAAAATTGCATAACCATATGTTGCAAGCTTTGAAATTTTCAAATAGGAGCAAACCTGGAGAATGCTGAGTACAAGCACAAAGATTCCTATGGCTCTATGCGCTGGAATATCAGCATCCATGCTTCTGTGGAGTTGTATTCCGAGGAGCACAGCACCAAGTCCCAGGATGAATCCTAGAAATTGAATCCCAGCATGAAGATAATACCATAATGGATCTTTGTGCTTCAAGTATCTCGCAATGATTGCCCCTGCAGGGAGGAGTAAACCCCATCCTATTACTCCCAACATCGCATGGTTCTTTTTCTGGCTCATATCTATGTCTAGAACAGAAGCTGCAAATAGAGTTTATGGTTTTTGTTAGCAATGGTTTAAATTGTGCTGAACATAATGCTTCGATTATTTCGATTAATGTATAATGTTTTAGATGTTTAAAAATTGATTTGAATTCAAATCTTTTTTTTTTAAATCAATTCAATTTGATTGATTTTATTGGTTTAATTTGATTGAACTCATTGGATTTTAAATTTTATGTTATTATTTTAATATAATTTTTAATATATTTAAATAGATTTGAATATTTATAAAATTTTAAAATATATAAAAATTAATAAATATATATAATTCGATTTAAATATTTTTAAATTTTTTATGTTCTAGTCCGAAAATCAAATTGAATCGTATAAAAAACATGTAATATCTAGAACTTAAACTGAATTGAAAAAAATTACTCAAATTGAATCGAATAGTGAAATTTCAAATTGATTTTCAATTTTCTTGATTTTTTTTTCTCAACCCCAGTGCTGCTTTGCGAAAGAATGATGAGCTAATAGATAGAAGATATTTGGATTGAGGATTTCTTAGGATAATCAAACCTTGAGAGAAGTCGAACCAAATGGCAGTCTTGTCATCGTGTTTAGTTAGGTGCAAATGCGTAGGATATCTGCATCCGAAAGCCAATATGATAGGTTGCCGGCCAAGACGATGATCAAACTTGGCTTGAAACGCCAAGTAAATCATGGCACCATGAAGGACCACAACCGGTGGAATATTGTTAAGTGGCAATTCACCCTTGTCTGGGATGACTTGTGATTCATCGTCACCTTGCAAGTAGTATTGCTTGACTCTTGCATGACCTTTTCTATCAAACCATCCTACCATAGCACTTGATCCAACCATCATCCCATTACTGGAAAAACCAATCCCCACCCATCCAGTTGTGTAGACTGCTGATAGTATGATGGTCATGACATTGTCTCCCCTCTGATAATACTGTATAAATGGTGGTAGACATGGTTAGCTAAGTAAAACATTGGCTAGTTAAATCAGAGTTTAGCTCAATTTATTTATACAATCACCTTTAAATGGTGGTATTCAGTATATGTGTAATCTAAATCTCAACACTTGCAACCATTTTTTTTATTTCCAGGCTGCAGCCTTTTATGTAAAAAAAAAAAAAATAGCTAATTCATGTTACAAGACCAAGCTCTACATATTTTCATCATTTTCTAAAATCTCTCAATCAACTAAGCAAATAAGGTTCAACTTTGAAATTTGCAAGAATATTATACATGGTAATTTTAAATATGATAAAGCATATAGTTTAAAATTTTAAAAAAAATTATATATGAGTTTGATAAAAATAAAAAAGGATGAATTCTGACGTGATAATTTTTGTATTCTATATGTATTTAGGTACAGTAAACAGATACAGATGCAAAAGTTGACAGATATAAAAAATACACAGAGAGGAATATGATAGTCTGAAAACAAGAGTCGAAACAGCTTACCCTCAAAATAAACGTATTCCATATAGGCGAACAAACCATCTTGGAAGTGGATATATTTCCATAAGGTGGACCAAGAAAACTAAGATCAGTACCACAAACCTCATATCTTCCACCATCACCATCACCAGCAGTACTAATAGAACCATCGGCAAAAGGATCATCGGAATCATGGGTGAGGACTTGATACTGTCCATCATTATCTGGATCAATGTTATCAGGCTCGACCCAGTTCTTGTTAAAACCTGCAGCTGCCAAAAACTTAGGTTCCAGGAAAACAAAAACAAGGTATAACCCAACAAGAATCCTGGAAAACGATACCCAGAAGCTTGAAGTTGCCATTGGGATCGATTCAAGGGCATCAAAGGGCAAGCATTTGTTGTAGGAAGGTCAAGAACAAGGAGAGAAAGTGTGAAGGCGCTGAGCCAGCCAGGGCGGTTAAGATGTTCCAGCTTCTTTGGACTCAAGGCTGAATTATAGATGGTATTGGTGATGGTGGCGTTGGCGGTTGGTGATGGCGGGTCATCATCGTTCCCGATAGCAAACTCATTACCAAACTGTATATCTCTTATGTCTCGAACTGTTTTATGTAAGTTTAATATCCGTTACAGCCTTTTGCATGTTTTGGATAGCTGTCTTTTATCAACGAGGATTGGCTGAAATGAATTAGATTGGAGATGAAGACATTAGAAACTTACAATTGGCTTTTTTAAGGTAAACTGATTTGATAAATTTAAAACCAATTTGCCTTCCAAAATAAGTACCTCCATAAGCTTTGACAGGGTAGCTAATAATAAACATAGTCAGGAAGAAGTAAGGTTTATCTGTGAGAACGATAAAATCAGACGCGGGTAGAAGATTTTTTTAAGGGTATCTACTTATAATATATACATATATTATCTATAACTATATATTAAAACTAACCCCTTAAGATGAGATGGGGACAGCTAAGCAATGTGATTCAAATCAATTGAGGGTTTGATTATGGAAAAAGTTTATGGAATTAAGGGTTAATTTTGGAAAAAAGTTTTAACAGAACCTTCTCTAAAAGCTTGAATCAGAAACTTCTCCAAAAGCTTCCATTGGAGCATGCAGAGCAATGGTATCTCTTCTGTTGAACGGATCACTGGCTCTATTGGAGCATGCATTGGTGTTTTTACATGTTTTGGTAGAGGTTTTGTCTTTGCATCTGTTGATGGAGGTTTTTTCAAGTTTGTTTATAGTTATTTTTAAACTTAGAGTATGAAACTTAGCAATACTCTCTCACCCGTGCGCATCTGAGCATTTTGGGGATGTTAATGGCAACTTTGATAAGCCCCGCGATCCCTTTTTCGCCTTCTCATCGCTTCTCCTTTCCTCCAAAGCTCACGATTCTTGCTCTTTCGTTGTGTAAGTTAAACCTAAATAATTATTTTTAATTTTTTTAGCAGTAATTTGCTCTCTGCAAACTTTTAATTAATTAATTAACGTTAACTTTTAGGAAGAATGGCGAAATCAATGGCTTATCTTGAACTCCACCCCTGGAGTGAGCTTCATTTTCCCTTTTTTGTGAATTTTTTATATTTCATTTGATAAAAATTGTTAGCAGTTTTTTGTTTGCATTTTAGCTTTGAAAATCAAGACAACGAGGAAATGGGATAAGTAATCGGTCGATTTGGTCGGTTCGAAAAAATTAATAATCGATTTAATCGATTTTCATTTAATAAATAATCGAACTGATTGAATATTATTAAATAATTAACCATAATTGAATCGACCAAAATCGACTCAGTTGGTTCAGTTAAATAACCAATTTTTTATCATTTTTTTATTATGAATAATTATTTAACTACAAATTCAATTCAATAAAATTTAAACTCAAGTATCATTCAAATTAAATGACTAAAGAATTTAATAATTTCAATAGTATTGTACAAAAATAAATAAATAAAAATATTTATCTCAATTTTTGTTACTTTTACTTATTAGATAATCAGTTAATTTGGTCAGTTCGGTTATCAATTTTAAAAATAAAAAATCGATCGAATTAATCAATTTAACTGATTTAAAAAATCGATTATAATTAAAACCGAATAAATCGAACCGATTCAATCGAATTTACTCGATTTCGGTCAGTCTAGTGAGTTCAAACCGACTTTTACTCACCCCTAGGAAATGTATCTTTCATAAGCTTCTCAAAAAACTTTGAAAGATGAAAAAAAGGTTAAAACTTTTGAAGAAAGAAGCCTTCGAAAACTAACATAGGTAAAAAAAAAACCAAAAAAAAAAAAGACTGGGAAAGGAAAAGGAAAGGAGCTCATTTTCTTTTACCTATAATGATTTGAAATATGGAAATCATTTTCTAATAATTGGTATAATATTTATCAATTGATATTTTTTATACTATTAATGAATATTTCTTTTGAAGAATTTTTTAAAATCTATGCATGAAAAACTTGAGATGTGCATGAATGAGCTTATATTTTAGGATTTCAAGTAAAGTATGTTGTTTTCATCAATCTAGCCTAGTTTATCAAAGGAATTGCTCAAATGAAGTGGAATTCAAAGCTGAATAAACTAAACAACAAAGCTTGATGAGAATGGAGGTAAATGTATTAAATCTAAACTTTATAGGCCTATCATTGGTTTGTTATTTTATCTTATTACAAATAGACTATATGTAATGTTGAGTACATGCTTTGATATATGCTTGCTATGATATATTATTATGATATGTTATTATGATTGTATATATTAACATTTTGCTCAAATTAGTCACCAAGTTACTTGGTAGAGATTGTTTTAATAATCTTGAAATCTTGGATTGACTAAATGCATTTTGATTGATATTCATACCTAGTTTTTGATTAGATTAATGACTTTTAATGCGTGAATATTAGCTTAATATAAATCTTTGAACATGGCTATGAGTTGAATGTTTTGATCTTAATATCTTATGAACTTTAATGATTTGACTCATAGATTATGAACTCATAATTTGAAATTTATATACATGTTCATGGTTTTAAAATATTGAGATAGTATGAAACATTATGTCTAAATGCTTGTATCTTTTTTGGTATATTTCTATATATGATTTGAAATATTTTTACATATGTTTGTTTGATTTTGATTGAAATGTATATTTGAAAACTTGAATATGTTTGGATTAAGTACATTGCTATGCATTAAAATGATTTGAATTATATTTGAATAATTACGTTTTCATTATTTCTTTGCTATAGCATGTATTCATCATGTTTGAAAAATCATACTTGTATAATTTTTATTATAACATGATGATTTGAACTTTATTGCTCATTACTATTCATGTATTATTAATTATATATTAGTTATGATTTTTATTAAGAATTTCTTTGGATAGCATGCTTATAAAATATTGTTTTTATCATTTTAAATTTATTGATTCAATCTTTCATATGTATGAAATATTGCTCTTTGAAAGTTAGTGAATAAAATTGCTAATGAATTCTTGAACTTTCATGAATGTTTGTGCTTTTCATGTCTAATATAAAGTATGCCTATCCTTGATAGAGCTTGTACCTTTCATGTAAAATTGTATGCCTTAAATTGATCACTTCTTTTGTTCAAAGGAGAGAAATCTTAGAATACAAAAATTTTGGTTGAAATAAAATGGTTATTTATGTGATAAACAATTCTTTAACATTTGGTATGGAATATTTGCGCTTGAATATATACTTAAATGATATTGATGTTTTAAATTTTAAGCACATTTTATGAAAATATGATGTATAAGTAGAATGCATAATATTCTTCGATCTCTTTACTCATAACAATCATGCAATGATCTTATGACTATTGTGCTAAAATGTTAAATTGGATACGTTGATATATTTATGCTCTTGGACTTAAATACTTATATTTGAATTTCATTATGCATATTACACTTGAATACATGGATTCTTTATACTTGAATACATGCTTATGATATTTGCTATTGAAAATTGTCCTATGCCTTAAATTGATCTCCTTTTTTCTATGATAAAAATGGGAGAAATATTTTGTGGACAAATTTGCCTCAATATACATATATATATGTACTTAATAGATATATATATGCCTTAATATATATGTATGTTGAATCATAAGTGTTAGATGTTTTGATATATATATATATATATATATATGTACTTAAAAGAATATATGTTAAAACGGGTTGGAGTATAAGTGCAAGATTAGGATAAAGAATGCATGAGTTGATGGAAAGTTTTGCTAGGAAACATGCATAGTTTAGGGGAGAGTTTTTTAAAATAGTTTTAAAAAATCTTAAATATTTCAAAAAAAATTTATCAAGCAAATTTATTTTTAAGTTTTATCATACTAAAAAGGAGAAGATTGTTAGCCTTCCATTGGTTCTTATTTTGAAATGACAAAACATTAGGTTAAATAAACTTGATTAAGATTTTGTAAAAGATTTATTTAGTATATATACTTAAATTATATTATTTTTAGTACTAAATAAATACTAGTAATATTTGAAATAAAAAATACTTTGGAAAATGGTTTTGGCCTTCTAAAAGATTTATTTAGTAAATGATTCTTATGATATATTATTTTGGTACTATATAATATTAGGTCTTCCAAAGTAATATTTGATTTGGAAAATGTTTTTATAAAACTTAAAACCTTTCTTTATGTTTTTGTGTTTCTCAAACCAAAACTATCTTTAAAAATTATTTATTTGAGCTTAAATGGAAGTTCAATTGTTGTTTTTGAAGTGATCTTATTCATTTTAGACTCAATACAATTGTGATTTAATATTGATTTTGAGAACTAAATTAACATGAGAAAGTTGTTTTGTAAGAACAACATTTTCCAACATTTGAATTTTATATGGATGGAAAGCTTTTTGACTCTACTTTCTAATGAATTAAACAAAATCAAAATCCAAATTTTTTTAGAAGATTTTGAATTTTTACTAAAGACTATGAAAGTTGTCTAACAACTGTATAATAAGTAGTTTTGAAAATTTACTATAATTTTTATTCATTAAGTCAGATGATGAATTTTACATTGATAGAAAATCTTTTAAGTCTAGTTTCTAAATCTTTAAACAAAACTTGGTTTGGAGTTGTATAATAAAGATATGATCAAATTAGTAAGTATAGTGCAAAATAAAATTTAGTTTAAAGCTTCTGAGTCCATTGTTTATCCATAATCATCTCATCTGCAAAACCAGATTAACCTAATCAATCATCTTTCAAAATGAATCGATCTATTCTCCTGCAATGGTCAAATTTTGAATGAAATTTAAGAACCAATTGATCTACTAATGTATCCTTAAGTTTAGTTTCTAAATTTTCAAACGGAATTTGATTTGGAGTTGTATAATTCAAGATATGATTA